AGAGGCTGGTGTATCTGGTAGAGGATAGTAGAGGCTGGTGTATCTAGTAGAGCCTGGTGTATCTGGTAGAGGCTGGTGTATCTGGTAGAGGCTGGTGTATCTGGTAGAGGCTGGTGTATCTGGTAGAGGTTGGTGTATCTAGTAGAGAATAGAGGCTGGTGTATCTGGTAGAGGCTGGTGTATCTGGTAGAGGATAGAGGCTGGTGAATCTGGTAGAAGATAGTAGAGGCTGGTGTATCTGGTAGAGGCTGGATTATCTGGTAGAGGCTGGTATATCTAGTAGAGAATAGAGGCTGGTGTATCTGGTAGAGGCTGGTGTATCTGGTAGAGGCTGGTGTATCTGGTAGAGGATGGTGTATCTGGTAGAGGCTGGTGTATCTGGTAGAGGATAGAGGCTGGTGTATCTGGTAGAGGATAGAGGCTGGTGTATCTGGTAGAGAATAGAGGCTGGTGTATCTGGTAGAGGATATTAGAGGATGGTGTATCTGGTAGAGACTGGCGTATCTGGTAGAGGATAGTAGAGGCTGGTGTATCTGGTAGAGGATAGTAGAGGCTGGTGTATCTGGTAGAGAATAGAGGCTGGTGTATCTGGTAGAGGCTGGTGTATCTGGTAGAGGATAGTAGAGGCTGGTGTATCTGGTAGAGGCTGGTGTATCTGGTAGAGGATAGTAGAGGCTGGTGTATCTGGTAGAGAATAGTAGATGCTGGTGTATCTGGTAGAGGATAGTAGAGGCTGGTGTATCTGGTAGAGGATAGTAGAGGCTGGTGTATCTGGTAGAGGATAGTAGAGGCTGGTGTATCTGGTAGAGGGTAGTAGAGGCTGGTGTATCTGGTAGAGGATAGTAGAGGCTGGTGTATTTGGTAGAGGCTGGTGTATCTGGTAGAGGATAGGAGAGGTTGGTGTATCTGGTAGAGGATAGTAGAGGCTGGTGTATCTGGTAGAGGCTGGTGAATCTGGTAGAGGATAGTAGAGGCTGGTGTATCTGGTAGAGGATAGTAGAGGCTGGTGTATCTGGTAGAGGATAGTAGAGGCTGGTGTATCTGGTAGAGGATAGTAGAGCCTGGTGTATCTGGTAGAGGCTGGTGTATCTAGTAGAGGCTGGTGTATCTGGTAGAGGATAGTAGAGGCTGGTGTATCTGGTAGAGGATAGTAGAGACTGGTGTATCTGGTAGAGGCTGGTGTATCTGGTAGAGGCTGGTGTATCTGGTAGAGGATAGTAGAGGCTGGTAGAGCCTGGTGTATCTGGTAGAGGCTGGTGTATCTGGTAGAGGCTGGTGTATCTGGTAGAGGATAGTAGAGGCTGGTGTATCTGGTAGAGGCTGGTGTATCTGGTAGAGGCTGGTGTATCTGGTAGAGGCTGGATTATCTGGTAGAGGCTGGTATATCTAGTAGAGAATAGAGGCTGGTGTATCTGGTAGAGGCTGGTGTATCTGGTAGAGGCTGGTGTATCTGGTAGAGGATGGTGTATCTGGTAGAGGCTGGTGTATCTGGTAGAGGATAGAGGCTGGTGTATCTGGTAGAGGATAGAGGCTGGTGTATCTAGGTAGAGAATAGAGGCTGGTGTATCTGGTAGAGGATATTAGAGGATGGTGTATCTGGTATAGACTGGCGTATCTGGTAGAGGATAGTAGAGGCTGGTGTATCTGGTAGAGGATAGTAGAGGCTGGTGTATCTGGTAGAGAATAGAGGCTGGTGTATCTGGTAGAGGCTGGTGTATCTGGTAGAGGATAGTAGAGGCTGGTGTATCTGGTAGAGGCTGGTGTATCTGGTAGAGGATAGTAGAGGCTGGTGTATCTGGTAGAGAATAGTAGATGCTGGTGTATCTGGTAGAGGATAGTAGAGGCTGGTGTATCTGGTAGAGGATAGTAGAGGCTGGTGTATCTGGTAGAGGATAGTAGAGGCTGGTGTATCTGGTAGAGGGTAGTAGAGGCTGGTGTATCTGGTAGAGGATAGTAGAGGCTGGTGTATTTGGTAGAGGCTGGTGTATCTGGTAGAGGATAGGAGAGGTTGGTGTATCTGGTAGAGGATAGTAGAGGCTGGTGTATCTGGTAGAGGCTGGTGAATCTGGTAGAGGATAGTAGAGGCTGGTGTATCTGGTAGAGGATAGTAGAGGCTGGTGTATCTGGTAGAGGATAGTAGAGGCTGGTGTATCTGGTAGAGGATAGTAGAGCCTGGTGTATCTGGTAGAGGCTGGTGTATCTAGTAGAGGCTGGTGTATCTGGTAGAGGATAGTAGAGGCTGGTGTATCTGGTAGAGGATAGTAGAGACTGGTGTATCTGGTAGAGGCTGGTGTATCTGGTAGAGGCTGGGTTGGTATCTGGTAGAGGATAGGTAGAGGCTGGGTATGTAGAGGCCTGGTGTATCTGGTAGAGGGCTGGTGTATCTGGTAGAGGCTGGCGTATCTGGTAGAGGATAGTAGAGGCTGGTGTATCTGGTAGAGGATAGTAGAGGCTGGTGTATCTGGTAGAGAATAGAGGCTGGTGTATCTGGTAGAGGCTGGTGTATCTGGTAGAGGATAGTAGAGGCTGGTGTATCTGGTAGAGGATAGTAGAGGCTGGTGTATCTGGTAGAGAATAGTAGATGCTGGTGTATCTGGTAGAGGATAGTAGAGGCTGGTGTATCTGGTAGAGGATAGTAGAGGCTGGTGTATCTGGTAGAGGATAGTAGAGGCTGGTGTATCTGGTAGAGGGTAGTAGAGGCTGGTGTATCTGGTAGAGGATAGTAGAGGCTGGTGTATTTGGTAGAGGCTGGTGTATCTGGTAGAGGATAGGAGAGGTTGGTGTATCTGGTAGAGGATAGTAGAGGCTGGTGTATCTGGTAGAGGCTGGTGAATCTGGTAGAGGATAGTAGAGGCTGGTGTATCTGGTAGAGGATAGTAGAGGCTGGTGTATCTGGTAGAGGATAGTAGAGCCTGGTGTATCTGGTAGAGGCTGGTGTATCTAGTAGAGGCTGGTGTATCTGGTAGAGGATAGTAGAGGCTGGTGTATCTGGTAGAGGATAGTAGAGACTGGTGTATCTGGTAGAGGCTGGTGTATCTGGTAGAGGCTGGTGTATCTGGTAGAGGATAGTAGAGGCTGGTAGAGCCTGGTGTATCTGGTAGAGGCTGGTGTATCTGGTAGAGGCTGGTGTATCTGGTAGAGGATAGTAGAGGCTGGTGTATCTAGTAGAGGATAGTAGAGGATGGTGTATCTGGTAGAGGATAGTAGAGGCTGGTGTATCTGGTAGATGATAGTAGAGGCTGGTGTATCTGGTAGAGGATAGTAGAGGCTGGTGTATCTAGTAGAGGATAGTGTATCTTGTAGAGGCTGGTGTATCTAGTAGAGGATAGTAGAGGCTGGTGTATCTGGTAGATGATAGTAGAGGCTGGTGTATCTGGTAGAGGATAGTAGAGGCTGGTGTATCTGGTAGAGGATAGTAGAGGCTGGTGTATCTAGTAGAGGATAGTAGAGGATGGTGTATCTGGTAGAGGCTGTTGTATCTGGTAGAGGCTGGTGTATCTGGTAGAGGATAGTAGAGGCTGGTGTATCTGGTAGAGGCTGGTGTATCTGGTAGAGGATAGTAGAGGCTGGTGTATCTAGTAGAGGCTGGTGTACCTGGTAGAGGATAGTAGATGCTGGTGTATCTGGTAGAGGATAGTAGAGGCTGGTGTATCTAGTAGAGGCTGGTGTATCTAGTAGAGGCTGGTGTATCTAGTAGAGGCTGGTGTATCTGGTAGAGGATAGTGTATCTGGTAGAGGCTGGTGTATCTAGTAGAGGATAGTGTATCTGGTAGAGGCTGGTGTATCTAGTAGAGGATAGTGTATCTGGTAGAGGCTGGTGTATCTAGTAGAGGATAGTGTATCTGGTAGAGAATGGTGTATCTGGTAGAGGCTGGTGTATCTAGTAGAGGATAGTGTATCTGGTAGAGGCTGGTGTATCTAGTAGAGGATAGTGTATCTGGTAGAGGATAGTAGAGGATAGTGTATCTGGTAGAGGCTGGTGTATCTAGTAGAGGATACTGCATCTGGTAGAGGCTGGTGTATCTAGTAGAGGATAGTAGAGGCTGGTGTATCTAGTAGAGGATAGTGTATCTGGTAGAGGCTGGTGTATCTGGTAGAGGATAGTGTATCTGGTAGAGGCTGGTGTATCTAGTAGAGGATAGTGTATCTGGTAGAGGCTGGTGTATATGGTAGAGGATAGTGTATCTGGTAGAGGCTGGTGTATCTAGTAGAGGATAGTGTATCTGGTAGAGGCTGGTGTATATGGTAGAGGATAGTGTATCTGGTAGAGGCTGGTGTATCTAGTAGAGGATAGTGTATCTGGTAGAGGCTGGTGTATCTAGTAGAGGATAGTGTATCAGGTAGAGGATAGTAGAGGATAGTGTATCTGGTAGAGGCTGGTGTATCTAGTAGAGGATACTGCATCTGGTAGAGGCTGGTGTATCTAGTAGAGGATACTGCATCTGGTAGAGGCTGGTGTATCTAGTAGAGGATAGTGTATCTGGTAGAGAATGGTGTATCTGGTAGAGGCTGGTGTATCTGGTAGAGGCTGGTGTATCTGGTAGAAGCTGGTTTATCTGGTAGAGGCTGGTGTATCTGGTTGAGGATAGTAGAGGCTGGTGTATCTGGTAGAGGCTGGTGTATCTGGTAGAGGATAGTAGAGGCTGGTGTATATAGTAGAGGCTGGTGTATCTGGTAGAGGATAGTAGAGGCTGGTGTATCTGGTAGAGGCTGGTGTATCTACTAGAGAATAGAGGCTGGTGTGTCTGGTAGAGGCTGGTGTATCTGGTAGAGGCTGGTGTATCTAGTAGAGAATAGAGGCTGGTGTATCTGGTAGAGTCTGGTGTATCTAGTAGAGGATAGCAGAGGCTGGTGTATCTAGTAGAGGATAGTGTATCTGGTAGAGGCTGGTGTATCTAGTAGAGGATAGTGTATCTGGTAGAGGCTGGTGTATCTAGTAGAGGATAGTGTATCTGGTAGAGGCTGGTGTATCTAGTAGAGGCTGGTGTATCTGGTAGAGGATGGTGTATCTGGTGGAGGCTGGTGTATCTGGTAGAGGCTGGTGTATCTGGTAGAGGATAGTAGAGGCTGGTGTATCTGGTAGAGGATAGTAGAGGCTGGTGTATCTAGTAGAGGCTGGTGTATCTGGTAGAGGCTGGTGTATCTGGTAGAGGCTGGTGTATCTAGTAGAGGCTGGTGTATCTGGTAGAGGCTGGTGTATCTGGTAGAGGTTGGTGTATCTAGTAGAGAATAGAGGCTGGTGTATCTGGTAGAGACTGGTGTATCTGGTAGAGGATAGAGGCTGGTGAATCTGGTAGAAGATAGTAGAGGCTGGTGTATCTGGTAGAGGCTGGATTATCTGGTAGAGGCTGGTATATCTAGTAGAGAATAGAGGCTGGTGTATCTGGTAGAGGCTGGTATATCTAGTAGAGAATAGAGGCTGGTGTATCTAATAGAGGCTGGTGTATCTGGTAGAGGCTGGTGTATCTGGTAGAGGCTGGTATATCTAGTAGAAAATAGAGGCTGGTGTATCTGGTAGAGGCTGGTGTATCTGGTAGAGGCTGGTGTATCTGGTAGAGGCTGGTGTATCTGGTAGAGGATAGAGGCTGGTGTATCTGGTAGAGGATAGAGGCTGGTGTATCTGGTAGAGAATAGAGGCTGGTGTATCTGGTAGAGGATATTAGAGGATGGTGTATCTGGTAGAGGCTGGCGTATCTGGTAGAGGATAGTAGAGGCTGGTGTATCTGGTAGAGGATAGTAGAGGCTGGTGTATCTGGTAGAGAATAGAGGCTGGTGTATCTGGTAGAGGCTGGTGTATCTGGTAGAGGATAGTAGAGGCTGGTGTATCTGGTAGAGGCTGGTGTATCTGGTAGAGGATAGTAGAGGCTGGTGTATCTGGTAGAGGCTGGTGTATCTGGTAGAGAATAGTAGATACTGGTGTATCTGGTAGAGGATAGTAGAGGCTGGTGTATCTGGTAGAGGATAGTAGAGGCTGGTGTATCTGGTAGAGGATAGTAGAGGCTGGTGTATCTGGTAGAGGGTAGTAGAGGCTGGTGTATCTGGTAGAGGATAGTAGAGGCTGGTGTATTTGGTAGAGGCTGGTGTTTCTGGTAGAGGATAGTAGAGGTTGGTGTATCTGGTAGAGGATAGTAGAGGCTGGTGTATCTGGTAGAGGCTGGTGAATCTGGTAGAGGATAGTAGAGGCTGGTGTATCTGGTAGAGGATAGTAGAGGCTGGTGTATCTGGTAGAGGATAGTAGAGGCTGGTGTATCTGGTAGAGGATAGTAGAGCCTGGTGTATCTGGTAGAGGCTGGTGTATCTAGTAGAGGCTGGTGTATCTGGTAGAGGATAGTAGAGGCTGGTGTATCTGGTAGAGGATAGTAGAGACTGGTGTATCTGGTAGAGCCTGGTGTATCTGGTAGAGGCTGGTGTATCTGGTAGAGGATAGTAGAGGCTGGTGTATCTGGTAGAGGCTGGTGTATCTGGTAGAGGCTGGTGTATCTGGTAGAGGCTGGTGTATCTGGTAGAGGATAGTAGAGGCTGGTGTATCTAGTAGAGGATAGTAGAGGATGGTGTATCTGGTAGAGGATAGTAGAGGCTGGTGTATCTGGTAGATGATAGTAGAGGATGGTGTATCTGGTAGAGGATAGTAGAGCCTGGTGTATCTAGTAGAGGATAGTGTATCTGGTAGAGGCTGGTGTATCTAGTAGAGGATAGTAGAGGCTGGTGTATCTGGTAGATGATAGTAGAGGCTGGTGTATCTGGTAGAGGATAGTAGAGGCTGGTGTATCTGGTAGAGGATAGTAGAGGCTGGTGTATCTGGTAGAGGATAGTAGAGGCTGGTGTATCTAGTAGAGGATAGTAGAGGATGGTGTATCTGGTAGAGGCTGGTGTATCTGGTAGAGGCTGGTGTATCTGGTAGAGGATAGTAGAGGCTGGTGTATCTGGTAGAGGCTGGTGTATCTGGTAGAGGATAGTAGAGGCTGGTGTATCTAGTAGAGGCTGGTGTACCTGGTAGAGGATAGTAGATGCTGGTGTATCTGGTAGAGGATAGTAGAGGCTGGTGTATCTAGTAGAGGCTGGTGTACCTGGTAGAGGATAGTAGAGGCTGGTGTATCTGGTAGAGGCTGGTGTATCTAGTAGAGGCTGGTGTATCTAGTAGAGGCTGGTGTATCTAGTAGAGGCTGGTGTATCTGGTAGAGGATAGTGTATCTGGTAGAGGCTGGTGTATCTAGTAGAGGATAGTGTATCTGGTAGAGGCTGGTGTATCTAGTAGAGGATAGTGTATCTGGTAGAGGCTGGTGTATCTAGTAGAGGATAGTGTATCTGGTAGAGGCTGGTGTATCTGGTAGAGGCTGGTGTATCTGGTAGAGGCTGGTGTATCTGGTAGAGGCTGGTGTATCTGGTAGAGGATAGTGTATCTTGTAGAGGCTGGTGTATCTAGTAGAGGCTGGTGTATCTGGTAGAGGCTGGTGTATCTAGTAGAGGCTGGTGTATCTGGTAGAGGATAGTAGAGGCTGGTGTATCTGGTAGAGGCTGGTGTATCTAGTAGAGGCTGGTGTATCTAGTAGAGGCTGGTGTATCTGGTAGAGGCTGGTGTATCTGGTAGAGGCTGGTGTATCTGGTAGAGGCTGGTGTATCTAGTAGAGGCTGGTGTATCTAGTAGAGGCTGGTGTATCTAGTAGAGGCTGGTGTATCTAGTAGAGGCTGGTGTATCTAGTAGAGACTGGTGTATCTAGTAGAGGCTGATGTATCTAGTAGAGGATAGTGTATCTAGTAGAGACTGGTGTATCTAGTAGCTGGTGTATCTAGTAGAGACTGGTGTATCTAGTAGAGGCTGGTGTATCTAGTAGAGGATAGTGTATCTAGTAGAGACTGGTGTATCTAGTAGAGACTGGTGTATCTAGTAGCTGGTGTATCTAGTAGAGACTGGTGTATCTAGTAGAGACTGGTGTATCTAGTAGAGGCTGGTGTACCTAGTAGAGGCTGGTGTACCTGGTAGAGGATGGATGCTGGTGTACCGTTAGTCATATTTTTCAAGATAATGTGGGCTATTTATTTCATTTCTGTTTTAATAAAATACACAATTTGAGGGACAAACATCATTGTGTCAATACATAAAACTGTAAATAAGACTTTAATCTCAAGAGAAGACTGGTTAAATGTTTGTTTTCTTTCTTATAAAATAATCCTGATCATATAGTAAAATCAAATCCCATTTTATTTGCCACATTTTATTTGCTGAATACAACAGGTGTAGACCTTACAGTTAAATGCTTACTTACAAGCCCTTAACCAACAATGCAGTTTTAAGAAAAAATGTGTTCAGTAAAAAATAGATAAGTAAAAAAATAAAATAAAAAAATGGAAGAGCGGCAGTAAAATAAAATAACAGTAGGGAGGCTATATACAGGGGGTACCGGGACAGAGTCAATGTGAAATAACAGTAGGGAGGCTATATACAGGGGGGTACCGGTACAGAGTCAATGTGAAAATAACAGTAGGGAGGCTATATACAGGGGGTACCGTACAGAGTTCAATGTGGAAAAACAGTAGAGAGGCTATATACAGGGGGTACCGGTACAGAGTTAATGTGAAATAACAGTAGGGAGGCTATATACAGGGGGTACCGGTTACAGAGTTCAATGTGAAATAACAGTAGAGAGGCTATATACAGGGGGGTACCGGTACAGAGTCAATGTGAAATAACAGTAGAAGAGGCTATATACAGGGGGGTACCGGTACAGAGTTAATGTGAAATAACAGTAGGGAGGCTATATACAGGGGTACCGGTACAGAGTCAATGTGAAATAACAGTAGGGAGGCTATATACAGGGGGGGGTACCGGTACAGAGTCAATGGGAAATAACAGTAGGGAGGCTATATACAGGGGGGTACCGTACAGAGTCAATGGGAAATAACAGTAGGGAGGCTATATACAGGGGGTACCGGTACAGAGTCAATGTGAAATAACAGTAGGGAGGCTATATACAGGGGGGTACCGGTACAGAGTCAATGTGAAATAACAGTAGGGAGGCTATATACAGGGGGTACCGGTACAGAGTCAATGTGAAATAACAGTAGGGAGGCTATATACAGGGGGTACCGGTACAGAGTCAATGTGAAATAACAGTAGGGAGGCTATATACAGGGGGGTACCGGTACAGAGTCAATGTGAAATAACAGTAGGGAGGCTATATACAGGGGGGTACCGGTACAGAGTCAATGTGAAATAACAGTAGGGAGGCTATATACAGGGGGTACCGGTACATAGTCAATGTGCGGGGGTACAGGTTAGTCAAGGTAATTGAGGTAATATGTACATGTGGGTAGAGTTAAAGTGACTATGCATAGATAATAAACAGAGTAGCAGCAGCGTGAAAGAGGGGGTGGGGTGGGGTTGGGGGGACGATGCAAATAGTCCGGGTAGCCATGATTAGCTGTTCAGGAGTCTTATGGCTTGGGGGTAGAAGCTGTTAAGAAGCCTTTTAGACCTAGACAACCTAGCAGTTGCCATACCAGGCGGTGATGCAACCAGTCAGGATGCTCTCGATGGTGCAGCTGTAGAACCTTTTGAGGATCTGAGGACCCATGCCAAATCTTTTCAGTCTCCTGAGGGGGAATAGGCTTTGTCGTGCCTTCTTCACGACTGTCTTGGTGTGTTTGGACCATGATAGTTTGTTGATGATGTGGACACCAAGGAACTTGAAGCTCTCAACCTGTTTCACTACAGCCCCGTCGATGAGAATGGGGGCGTGCTCAGTCCTCTTTTTTCCCCCCTGTAGTCCACAATCATCTCCTTTATCTTGATCACGTTGAGGGAGAGGTTGTTATCCTGGCACCACATGGCCAGGTGTCTGACCTCCTCCCTATAGGCTGTCTCATCGTTGTCGGCAAACTTAATGATGGTGTTGGAGTCGTGCCTGGCCATGCAGTCATGGGTGAACAGGGTGTACAGGAGGGGTCTGAGCATGCACTCCTGAGGGGCCCTCGTGTTGAGGATTAGAGTGGCAGATGTGTTGTTACCTACCCTTACCACCTGGGGTCGGCCCGTCAGGAAGTCCAGGATCCAGTTGCAGAGGGAGGTGTTTAGTCCCAGGGTCCTTAGTTTAGTGATGAGCTTTGAGGGCACTATGGTGTTGAATGCTGAGCTGTAGTCAATGAATAGCATTCTCACGTAGGTGTTCCTCTTGTCCAGGTGGGAAAGGGCAGTGTGGAGTTCAATAGAGATTGCATCATCTGTGGATCTGTTGGGGTGGTATGCAAATTGGAGTGTGTCTAGGGTTTCTGGGATAATGGTGTTGATGTGAGCCATGACCAGCCTTTGAAAGCACTTCATGCCTACAGACTTGAGTGCTACAGGTCGGTAGTCATTTAGGCAGGTTATCTTGGGGTTATTGAGCATAGGGACTATGGTGGTCTGCTTGAAACATGTTGGTATTACAGACTCAGACAGGGAGAGGTTAAAAATGTCAGTGAAGACACTTGCCAGTTGGTCAGCGCATGCTCGAAGTACACATCCTGGTAATCCGTCTGGCCCTGCGGCCTTGTGAATGTTGACCTGCTTAAAAGTCTATCTCACATCGGATGCAGAGAGCGTGATCACGTATTCATCCGGAACAGCTGATGCTCTCATTCATGCTTCAGTGTTGCTTGCCTCGAAGCTAGCATAGAAGTAATTTAGCTCGTCTGGTAGGCTTGTGTCACTGGGCAGCTCGTGGCTGTGCTTCCCTTCCGACGAGCGTCAGAGCCAGTGTAGTACGATTCAGTCTTAGTCATGTATTGACTCTTTGCCTGTTTGATGGTTCGTTGGAGGGCATAGCGTGATTTCTTATAAGCGTCCGGGTTAGAGTCCCGCTCCTTGAAAGCAGCAGCTCTACCCTTTAGCTCAGTGCGGATGTTGCCTGTAATCCATGGCTTAACTCAGTCCATCATTGGGTCTGTTTGGGCTGTAAGGCTAACTCAGTCCATCATTGGGTCTGTTTGGGCTGTAAGGCTAACTCAGTCGGTCTGTTTGAGCTGTAAGGCTAACTCAGTCGGTCTGTTTGAGCTGTAAGGCTAACTCAGTCGGTCTGTTTGAGCTGTAAGGCTAACTCAGTCGGTCTGTTTGGGCTGTAAGGCTAACTCAGTCGGTCTGTTTGGGCTGTAAGGCTAACTCAGTCCATCATTGGGTCTGTTGAGCTGTAAGGCTAACTCAGTCCATCATTGGGTCTGTTGAGCTGTAAGGCTAACTCAGTCCATCATTGGGTCTGTTTGGGGTGTAAGGCTAACTCAGTCGGTCTGTTTGGGCTGTAAGGCTAACTCAGTCGGTCTGTTTGGGCTGTAAGGCTAACTCAGTCGACTGTAGACTAAAGTCAGGGGAGGTGCATCTGCAACAGCCGAGAGTCGGACACTGTTGTGGTTGACCTACATCAGTAGTACATAGAGCCATGACTACATGGAACTCTATTCCACATCAAGTTAACTGATGCAAGCAGTAAAATTAGATTTAAAAAAACAGATAAAAATACACCTTATGGAACAGCGGGGACTGTGAAGCAACACAAACATGGTAACATACGCACTATACACACACGTACACATGGATTTTGTGTTGTAGATATGTGGTAGTGGAGTAGAGGCCTGAGGGCACACAGTGTGTTGTGAAATCTGTGAATGTATTGTAATGTTTTAAAAATTGTATAACTGCCTTAATGTTGCTGGACCCCAGGAAGAGTAGCTGCTGCCTTGGCAGGAACTAATGGGGATCCATAATAAACCCCAGGAAGAGTAGCTGCTGCCTTGGCAGGAACTAATGGGGATCCATAATAAACCCCAGGAAGAGTAGCTGCTGCCTTGGCAGGAACTAATGGGGATCCATAATAAATACAAATGCAAATGCTCCGTGCAACATGGCAGTGTTGCCATAGTTAATAATATTTAAAAAAAAAAAAATTATGTTGAAATAAACATCTCAAAGCCCCATATCACACACTTAAAAACGGTAAATGTCTGTGTACATTGTACTATCAATTGGTGTGAGAAAGCCTCAAAATATAACATTCATTTGTATATCCACTGTCTACATATGAATCGCGGCAAAGTTGGTTCATGTTTCAGTCATGTCTTTGGTTCTGTTCGCGTGGGTAAAACAAAAACACCCTTATCATTGGTTGACCCTAACCCTAACCTTAACCCTGATGATTGGTTGACCCTAACCCTAACCCTCCACAATGCAGGTGATGGCTAATGGTGCAGTTGGTGAGAAGCAACTGCAGCAACTTCATCAAAAACTGCATGACCTTTGGTCACATGGTTTTTGTAAAGTTAATGTAGGCGGAAGTCGGACAATTTTTATCCCCATAATGCACCACTCTGAAAGGTGGGCACCAACGATTGTCACTGACTTAGCCCAAAAAAATGTATGCACTCACTAACTGTAAGTTGCTCTGGATAAGAGCGTCTGCTAAATGACTAAAAATGTTTTTAAAAATGGAACACTCCCATCGTGTTAAATGGAACACTCCCATCGTGTTAAATGGAACACTCCCATCGTGTTAAATGGAACACTCCCATCGTGTTAAATGGAACACTCCCATCGTGTTAAATGGAACACTCCCATCGTGTTAAATGGAACACTCCCATCGTGTTAAATGGAACACTCCCATCGTGTTAAATGGAACACTCCCATCGTGTTAAATGGAACACTCCCATCGTGTTAAATGGAACACTCCCATCGTGTTAAATGGAACACTCCCATCGTGTTAAATGGAACACTCCCATCGTGTTAAATGGAACACTCCCATCGTGTTAAATGGAACACTCCCATCATGTTGTGTGTCAGCTCTGTAGATGTTGATGTGTGATTGTATTGTGTTGACGTGGTTGTTTACTGTGTGTTGTTGATGATGTTTACTGTGTGTTGTTGATGATGTTTACTGTGTGTTGTTGATGATGTTTACTGTGTGTTGTTGATGATGTTTACTGTGTGTTGTTGATGATGTTTACTGTGTGTTGTTGATGATGTTTACTGTGTGTTGTTGATGATGTTTACTGTGTGTTGTTGATGATGTTTACTGTGTGTTGTTGATTATGTTTACTGTGTGTTGTTGATTATGTTTACTGTGTCTGTGTGTTCCAGGTCAAGGGTCACCAGATCCTGGATGAGCCCATGGACGAGGGAGAGTCTTTCACTCATTGTGTGAGTAATAGTAATAATAATACATGTAATTTGTATAGAGCTTTTCATTACGGTGTTATCTCAAAGGATCAAATAAAAACCTTCTATAAAAACATCAAGCAGGAAATAGCAACAGTAGATAGGCTAGGTGCTACAGTAGATAGGCTAGGTGCTACAGTAGATAGGCTAGGAGCTACAGTAGATAGGCTAGGTGCTACAGTAGATAGGCTAGGTGCTACAGTAGATAGGCTAGGTGCTACAGTAGATAGGCTAGGTGCTACAGTAGATAGGCTAGGTGCTACAGTAGATAGGCTAGGTGCTACAGTAGATAGGCTAGGTGCTACAGTAGATAGGCTAGGTGCTAAAAGCAATTTCTAGATTAGCACTAGAAGAAGACAGTCAGGAGAAATGGGTTTTAAGGCCCGTTTTAAAAGTTCCCATTGATGGAGTGGCTCTCAGATGGTCAGGGAGAGCATTCCATAGGCGAGGGGCAAGGGAGCAGAAGTCCCCCATAGTTCAGAGACGTGGGGACTTGAAGCAGTGGGGAGTTGCTGGAGAGTGTGAGGTGGCTCATTAATAGAAATTAGGTCCCTGATGTCAAATCAAATCACATTTTATTTGTCACATACACGTGTTTAGCAGATGTTATAGCGGGTGTAGCGAAATGCTTGTGCTTCTAGCTCCGACAGTGCAGTAATATCTAACAATTGCACAACATATACCCAATACACACAAAACTAGTAAGGAATGGAATTTAAGAATATATACATATATGGACAAGCAATGACAGAGTGGCATGGACTAAGATACAGTAGAATATTATAGAATAGAATGCAGTATATACATATGAGATGAGTAGTGCAAGATATGGAAACATTATTAAAGTGACTAATGTTCCATTTCTTAAAGTGGCCAGTGATTTCAATAGGCAGCAGCAGCCTCTAATGTGCTAGTGATGGCTATTTAACAGTCTGATGGCCTTGAGATATAAGCTGTTTTTCATTCTCTCGATCCCAGCTTTGATGCACCTGTACTGACCTCGCCTTCTGGATGATAGCGGGGTGAACAGGCAGTGGCTCAGGTGGTTGATGTCCTTGATGATCTTTTTGGCCTTCCTGTGACATCGGGTGCTGTATGTGTCTTGGAGGGCGGGTAGTTTGCCCTCGGTAATGCGTTCGGCAGACCGCACCACCCTCTGGAGAGCCCTGCGGTTGCGGGCGGTGCAGTTCCGGTACCAAGCGGTGATACAGCCCGACAGGATGCTCTCAATTGTGCATCTGTAAAAGTTTGTGAGGGTTTTAGGTGTCAAGCCAAATTTCTTCAGGCTCCTGAGGTTGAAGAGGCTCTGTTGCGCCTTCTTCACCACACTGTCTGCGTGGGTGGACCATTTCAGTTTGTCAGTGATGTGTACGCCAAGGAACTTGAAGCTTTCCACCTTCTCCACTGCGGTCCCGTCGATGTGGATAGGGGGGTGCACCCTCTGCTGTTTCCTGAAGTCCACGATCATCTCCTTTGTTTTGTTGATGTTGAGTGAGAGGTTATTTTCCTGGCACCACACTCCCAGAGCCCTCACCTCCTCCTTGTAGGCTGTCTCGTCATTGTTGATAATCAAGCCTACTACTGTTGTGTCATCTGCAAACTTGATGATTGAGTTGAAGGCGTGCTTGGCCACGCAGTCATGGGTGAACAGGGAGTACAGGAGGGGGCTGAGCACGCACCCTTGTGGGGCCCCAGTGTTGAGGATCAGCAAAGTAGAGATGTTGTTTCCTACCTTCACCACCTGGGGGCGGCCCGTCAGGAAGTCCAGGACCCAGTGTAGTGAATAGTCCTTAGCACGGGTACTGCCTGTTTGAGTTTCTGCCTATAGGAAGGGAGGAGCAAAATGGAGTCGTGGTCAGATTTGCCGAAAGGAGGGCGGGGGAGGGCCTTATAACCATCCCGGAAGTTCGAATAGCAATGGTCGAGGATTTTGGCAGCGAAATTATCTTGGGAGATAATACGGTCGGCATTTGATTGTGAGATATTTTAGGTCGGGTGAACAGAAGGACTCGAGTTCCTGTATGTTGCTACAATTAGTAATGAGTTGTTAATCATGAAACACACACCTCCGCCCTTCTGGTTCCCGGAGAGATATTTATTCCTGTCTGCGCGATGAACTGAGAACCCATCTGGCTGGACCGATTTCGACAGAATATCCCAAGAGAGTGATGTTTTGGGTCAGCCGCTGGAATCAGTTCATTTGCCCTGGGGAAAGCAAACAAAGGATCTGCTTTGGGAAAGTCGTATTCCTGGTCGTAATGCTTGTGAGTTACCACCGCTCTGATATCCAATAGTTTTCCTCGGCTGTATGTAATGATACAAAACACTTTCTAAGCTAATAATGTAAAAAATAATACATACAAAAACAAAATACTGCCAAGTTTCCTAAGAGCTAGTCGCGAGGCCGCCATCTTCGTCGGAGGCGCCAGCAATGTAGGTGGGACTCAATCCATTCAAGGCTTTAAACACTAGGAGGAGGATTTTAAAGTGAATCCTCTAGTTGACCGGTAGCCAGTGAGTTCAGTAAGGATGGTTGTGATGTGGGCTGAGTTCTTGGTCCTGGTCAGGACTCTGACAGCACTATTCTGGAGAAGTTGTAGCCTCTGAAGTGATTTGTCTGGAAGGCCCCTGAACAGAGCTGTAGTCGATCCGGGAGAAGATGAAGGCGTGGAATAGTTTCTCTGCATCTGGCTGGGAGAAAGATGGTTTGAGCCGGGTGATGTTTTTTAGATAGAAACATGATGTTAGCGGATAATATGGTTTATATGGGCATCACAGGACAGAGAAGACTCGAAGTTGACTCCCAGGTTGAAGAGGACAGATGTTGTAGGGCAGATGTTTCCAGCACTGGTGACCTGCTTGAATAAGGGGTTGTGCATACAGTGCATTCGGAAAGTATTCAGACCCCTTGACCTTTTCCACATTTTGTTACATTACAGCCTTATTCTAAAATGGATTAAATCGTTTTTTACCCTCATCAATCTACACACAATACCCCATAATGACAAAGCAAAAGCAGGTTTTTAGACATTTTTGCAAATTTCTTACAAATAAAAAACCTAAATATCTCATTTACATAAGTATTCAGACCCTTTACTCAGTACTTTGTTGAAGCACGTTTGACAGCGATTACAGCCTTGAGTCTTCTTGGGTATGACGCTACAAGCTTGGCACACGTGTATTTGGGGAGTTTCACCCATTCTTCTCTGCAGATCCTCTCAAGCTCTGTCAGGATGGATGGGGAGCGTCGCTGCACAGCTATTTTCAGGTGTCTCCAGAGATGTTCGATCGGGTTCAAGTCTGGGCTATGGCTGGGCCACTCAAGGACATTGAGACTTGTCCCTAAGCCACTCCTGTGTTGTCTTGGCTGTGTGCTTAGGGTCGTTGTCCTGTTGGAAGGTGAACCTTTGCACCAGTCTGGGGTCCTGAGCGCTCTGGAGCAGGTTTTCATCAAGAATCTCTCTGTACTTTACTCTGTTCATCTTTGCCTCAATCCTGACTAGTCTCCCAGTCCCTGCCGCTGAAAAATATCCCCACAGCATGATGCTGCCACCACCATGCTTCACCGTAGGGATGGTGCCAGGTTTCCTCCAGACGTGATGCTTGGCATTCAGACCAAAGAGTTCAATCTTGGTTTCATCAGACCAGAGAATCTTGTTTCTCATGGTCTGAGAGTCCTTTAGGTGCCTTTTGGCAAACTCCAAGCGGGCTGTCATGTGCCTTTTACTGAGGAGTTGCTTCCGTCTGGCCACTCTACCATAAAGGCCTGATTGGTGGAGCGCTGCAGAGATCGTTTTCCTTCTAGAAGGGTTAGGGTTAGGTTTGGAGCTTTGTCAGAGTGACCAAGGCCATTCTCCCCCGATTGCTCAGTTTGATCGGGCGGCCAGCTCTAGGAAGAGTTTTGGTGGTTCCAAACTTCTTCCATTTAAGAATGATGGAGGCCACTGTGTTCTTGGGGACCTTCAATGCTGCAGACATTTTTTGGTCCCCTTCCCCAGATCTGTGCTTCGATACAATCCTGTCTCGAAGCTCTAAGGACAATTCCTTCGACCTCAAGGCTTGGTTTTTGCTCTGACATGCAGTGTCAACTGTGGGACCTTATATAGACAGGTGTGTGCCTTTCCAAATCATGTCCAATCAATTGAATTTACCACAGGTGGACTCCAATCAAGTTGTAGAAACAGCTCAAGGATGATCAATGGAAACAGGATGCACCTGAGCTCAATTTTGAGTCTCTTAGCAAAGGGTCTGAATACTTATGTACAAATGTTATTTTTGTTTTTTTATTTTTAATACATTTGCAAACATTTCTAAAAACCTGTTTTCGCTTTGTCATTAAGGGGTATTGTGTGTAGGTTGATGAGGGGAACAAAATAATTTAATCCATTTTATAATAAGGCTGTAATGTAACAAAGTGGAAAAAATAAAGGGGTCTGAATACTTTCCGAATGCACTGTACTTTGTGTACATGAAATACTAACTGTTTTTGTGGTGTGTGTGTGTATGTTTAGGACAAGGGTGCGTCATATTCAGAGATCCCCATCACCCACCATGTGAAGGAAGGGTGTGAGAAGGCTGACCCGCGGCAGTTTGAGTTGCTTAAGGTCCTGGGACAGGGATCGTTCGGAAAGGTGTTTCTGGTCCGGAAAATCATGGGTCCAGACGAGGGTCAGTTATATGCAATGAAAGTCCTCAAGAAGGCTTCGTTGAAAGGTAACAGTCCAGTTATCAACTTCACATACATGTTCTCTCAGATGGTCTCTGACACTGTTCACTTCAATGCTTTATAGATGCATAGCATATTGTAGAAACTAATGGCCCTGTTTGTCTGGGATTTCATGTCTGTGGCTGTTTCTCTGTGTCTGTCTGTCTGTCTGTCTCTGTCTGTGTCGCGCTGTTGCTCTGCCTCTGTTGCTCTTCCTCTCTGTCGCTCTCTCTCTCTGTCGCTCTCTCTCTCTGTCGCTCTCTCTCTCTGTGTCTCTGTCGCTCTCTCTGTGTGCCTCTGTCGCTCTCTGTGTGCCTCTGTCGCTCTCTCTGTGTGTCTGTCTCTCTCTCTCTGTGCCTCTGTCGCTCTCTCTCTGTGTGTCTGTCTCTCTCTCTGTGTGTCTGTCTCTGTCTGTGTCGGTGTGTCTCTGTGTGTATGTGTCTGTCTGTGTGTCTGTGTTTCTCTGTCTCTCTATGTGTGTCTTCTCTGTGTGTGTGTCTTCTCTGTGTCTATGTGTGTCTGCCTCTGTTTCTCTGTCTGTGTGTGTGTGTGTCTCTGTCTGTCTGGGTCTCGCTCTGTGTCTGTCGCTCTGCCTCTCTGTCGCTCTGCCTCTGTGTGTCTGTCTCTCTCTCTGTCCATCCAGTCAGGGACAGAGTTCGCACCAAAATGGAGCGAGACATTCTAGTGGAGGTCAACCACCCCTTCATAGTCAAGTTGCACTACGGTTAGTCTCATCTTTAACCCCTGACCCTTCACCTCTACCCTCTCACCACGTCATAGTCCAGTTTTACTACGGTTAGTCACTCTGTCCTGACTACAGAGGAGTGTGTTTAACGCCTCTCCTCTCTCAGCCTTCCAGACCGAAGGGAAGCTCTATTTAATCCTGGACTTTCTCAGGGGAGGAGACGTCTTCACGCGCTTATCCAAAGAGGTGAGACCTCTACTACTCTAGTGGATTATTATTGATAAACTGGGTGGTTCGAGCCCTGAATGCTGATTGGCTGACAGCCGTGGTATATCAGACCGTATACCACGGGTATGACAAAACATTTATTTTTACTGCTGTAATTACTTTGGTAACCAGTTTATAATAGCAATAAGGCACCTTGGGGCTTTGTGGTATATTGCCAATATACCACGGCTAAGGGCTGTATCCGCGTTGCGTCGTGCCTAAGAACAGCCCTTAGCCGTGGTATTTTGGCCATATACCACACCTTATTGCTTTAAAATAATATCCTATGACATGGGTTATTCACTTTACTTTTGACTGCTCGTAAATGTACACTCAGGCCAGTTTATTAGGAACACCCATCTAGTAACGGGTCAGATCCACCTTTGCCTCCAGAACAGCCTCAATTCTTCTGGGAATGGATTCTACAAGGTGTGGCGTTCAAACATTGCTCCATTGGTATCAAGAGACCTAACATTTTCCAGGAAAACATTCCCTACACCACCGCCACCAGCCTGTACCGTTGACACCAGGCAGGATGTGGCCATGGACTGCGTACACCAAATCCTGACTCTCAGCATGATGCAACAAGAACCGGGATTTTTCGGACCAGGCGATGTTTTTCCGCTCCTCAACTGTCCAGTGTTGGTGATCTTGTGCCCACTGGAGCCGCTTCTTCTTGTGTTTAGCTGATAGGAGTGGAACCCGGTGTGGTCGTCTGCTGCAATAACCCATCTGTGATAAGGACTGACGAATTGTGCATTCCAAGATGCCGTTCTGCACACCACTGTTGTACTGAGCTGTTATTTGCCTGTTTGTGGCCCGCCTGTTAGCTTGCACGATTCTTGCCATTCTCCTTCGACCTCTGTCATCAACGAGCTGTTTTCGCCCACAGGACTGCTGCTGACTGGATGTATTTTGTTTGCTGCACCATTCTCGGTAAACCCTAGACACTGTTGTGCGTGAAAAGCCCAATAGGCCGCCCGTTTCTGACGTACCGACGATTATACCACGCTTAAAGTCACTTAGGTCACTCGTTTTTCCCATTCTAACGTTCAATCGAACAGGAACTGAATGCCTCGATGCCTGTCTGCCTGCTTTATATAGCAAGCCACGGCCACGTGACTCACTGTCTGTAGGAGCGAACCATTATCGTGAACGGGGTGGTGTACCTAATAAACTGGCCACTGAGTATATAATGATATAAAGAATATGGCTTTATTTAAATGTGTAAATACTAGTATTAACTTAATATAATGTATATAATATTGTTTTACAGTGGGGAAAAAAAGTATTTAGTCAAATCAAATACAATTTTATTGGCCACATGCGCCGAATACAACAGGTGCAGACATTACAGTGAAATGCTTACATACAGCCCTTAACCAACAGTGCATTTCTTTTTAACAAAAAAGTAAAAATAAAACAACAACAAAAAAAGTGTTGAGAAAAAAAGAGCAGAAGTAAAATAAAATAACAGTAGGGAGGCTATATACAGGGGGTACCGGTGCAGAGTCAATGTGCGGGGGCACCGGCTAGTTGAGGTAATATGTACATGTGGGTAGAGTTAAAGTGACTATGCATAAATAATTAACAGAGTAGCAGCAGCGTAAAAGGATGGGGTGGGGGGGCAGTGCAAATAGTCCGGGTAGCCATGATTAGCTGTTCAGGAGTCTTATGGCTTGGGGGTAGAAGCTGTTGAGAAGTCTTTTGGACCTAGATTTGGCACTCCGGTACCGCTTGCCATGCGGTAGCAGAGAGAACAGTCTATGACTAGGGTGGCTGGAGTCTTTGACAATTTTGAGGGCCTTCCTCTGACACCGCCTGGTATAGAGGTCCTGGATGGCAGGAAGCTTGGCCCCAGTGATGTACTGGGCCGTACGCACTACCCTCTGTAGTGCCACACCCCCACACCCTAACACTTAACACTTTCTGGGTCTCACCGCTCCCCCTGAGGGCACCCTTAGAGGCCGAGCAGTTGCCATACCAGGCGGTGATGCAACCAGTCAGGATGCTCTCGATGGTGCAGCTGTAGAATTTTTTGAGGATCTGAGGACCCATGCCAAATCTTTTCAGTCTCCTGAGGGGGAATAGGCTTTGTCGTGCCCTCTTCACGACTGTCTTGGTGTGTTTGGACCATGATAGTTCGTTGGTGATGTGGACACCAAGGAACTTGAAGCTCTCAACCTGTTCCACTACAGCTCCGTCGATGAGAATGGGGGCGTGCTCAGTCCTCTTTTTTTTCCTGTAGTCCACAATCATCTCCTTTGTCTTGGTCACGTTGAGGGAGAGGTTGTTGTCCTGGCACCACACGGCCAGGTCTCTGACCTCCTCCCTATAGGCTGTCTCATCGTTGTCGGTGATCAGCCACCAATCGTGCAAGTTCTCCCACTTAAAAAGATGAGAGAGGCCTGTAATTTTCATCATAGGTACACATCAACTATGACAGACAAATTGAGAAAAAAATTTCCAGAAAATCACATTGTAGGATTTTTTATGAATTTATTTGCAAATTATGGTGGAAAATAAGTATTTGGTCACCTACAAACAAGCAAGATTTCTGGCTCTCACAGACCTGTAACTTCTTCTTTAAGAGGCTCCTCTGTCCTCCACTCGTTACCTGTATTAATGGCACCTGTTTGAACTTGTTATCAGTATAAAAGACACCTGTCCACAACCTCAAACAGTCACACTCCAAACTCCACTATGGCCAAGACCAAAGAGCTGTCAAAGGACACCAGAAACAAATTGTAGACCTGCACCAGTCTGGGAAGACTGAATCTGCAATAGGTAAGCAGCTTGGTTTGAAGAAATCAACTGTGGGAGCAATTATTAGGAAATGGAAGACATACAAGACCACTGAAAATCTCCCTCGATCTGGGGCTCCACGCAAGATCTCACCCCGTGGGGTCAAAATGATCACAAGAATGGAGAGCAAAAATCCCAGAACCACACGGGGGGACCTAGTGAATGACCTGCAGAGAGCTGGGACCAATGTAACAAAGCCTACCATCAGTAACACACTACGCCGCCAGGGACTCAAATCCTGCAGTGCAAGACGTGTCCCCCTGCTTAAGCCAGTACATGTCCAGGCCTGTCTGAAGTTTGCTAGAGTGCATTTGGATGATCCAGAAGAGGATTGGGAGAATGTCATATGGTCAGATGAAACCAAAATAGAACTTTTTGGTAAAAACTCAAATCGTCGTGTTTGGAGGACAAAGAATGCTGAGTTGCATCCAAAGAACACCATACCTACTGTGAAGCATGGGGTTGGAAACATCATGCTTTGGGGCTGTTTTTCTGCAAAGGGACCAGGACGACTGATCCGTGTAAAGGAAAGAATGAATGGGGCCATGTATCGTGAGATTTTGAGTGAAAACCTCCTTCCATCAGCAAGGGCATTGTAGATGAAACGTGGCTGGGTCTTTCAGCATGACAATGATCCCAAACACCCCGCTCGGGCAACGAAGGAGTGGCTTCGTAAGAAGCATTTCAAGGTCCTGGGGTGGCCTAGCCAGTCTCCAGATCTCAACCCCATAGAAAATCTTTGGAGGGAGTTGAAAGTCCGTGTTGCCCAGCGACAGCCCCAAAACATCACTGCTCTAGAGGAGATCTGCATGGAGGAATGGGCCAAAATACCAGCAACAGTGTGTGAAAACCTTGTGAAGACTTACAGAAAACGTTTGACCTGTGTCATTGCCAACAAAGGGTATATATCAAAGTATTGAGAAACTTTTGTTATTGACCAAATACTTATTTTCCACCATAATTTGCAAATAAATTCATTAAAAATCCTACAATGTGATTTTCTGGAATTTTTTTTCTCATTTTGTCTGTCATAGTTGACGTGTACCTATGATGAAAATTACAGGCCTCTCATCTTTTTAAGTGGGAGAACTTGCACAATTGGTGGCAGACTAAATACTTTTTTTTCCCCACTGTATGTGTAGCTCTAACTGTATTTAGTAATATGATGTTATAATGTTGTATAATGAGTTGTGTTGCCTGTGACCCTTCCCTCCGAGGCCAGAACAGACAGTAAATGTGTCCAGTTCTCACTAGGTTATGTTTACAGAGGAAGATGTCAAATTCTACCTAGCAGAGCTGGCTCTGGCCCTCGACCACCTGCACCATCTGGGCATAGTTTACAGAGACCTCAAACCAGAGAAGTATGTACCCTAACCTCTGACCCCTAACCCCTACATCACCACCTGGGCATAGTTTACAGAGACCTCAAACCAGAGAAGCATGTATCCTAACCTCTGACCCCTAACCCCTACATCACCACCTGGGCATAGTGGACAGAGACCTCAAACCAGAGAAGTGTGTATCCTAACCTCTGACCCCTAACCCCTACATCACCATCTGGGCATAGTTTACAGAGACCTCAAACCAGAGAAGCATGTATCCTAACCTCTGACCCCTAACCCCTACATCACCACCTGGGCATAGTGGACAGAGACCTCAAACCAGAGAAGTGTGTATCCTAACCTCTGACCCCTAACCCCTACATCACCACCTGGGCATAGTTTACAGAGACCTCAAACCAGAGAAGCATGTATCCTAACCTCTGACCCCTAACCCCTACATCACCACCTGGGCATAGTGGACAGAGACCTCAAACCAGAGAAGCATGTATCCTAACCTCTGACCCCTAACCCCTACATCACCACCTGGGCATAGTGGACAGAGACCTCAAACCAGAGAAGCATGTATCCTAACCTCTGACCCCTAACCCCTACATCACCACCTGGGCATAGTGGACAGAGACCTCAAACCAGAGAAGTGTGTATCCTAACCTCTGACCCCTAACCCCTACATCACCACCTGGGCATAGTGGACAGAGACCTCAAACCAGAGAAGTGTGTATCCTAACCTCTGACCCCTAACCCCCCCAGTCTGTCTCTGCCTCTTCTAATTTACATGGTTGGGGTGTTGCTGGTGATGAGTTAGGGTGTTTGGGGTGTTGCTAGTGGTGATTTGGGTGTTTGGGCTGTTGGTAGTGATGGGTTAGGGTGTTGGTAGTGATGGGTTAGGGTGTTGGTAGTGATGGGTTAGGGTGTGTTGGGATGGGTAGTGGGTGTTGGTAGTGAGGGTTAGGGTGTTGGTAGTGATGGTTAGGGTTGGTAGGGGTTTGGGTGTGTGTTGTGCATGGTTTATGGTTAGGGTGTTGGTATGTGATGGGTTAGGGTGTGGTAGTGATGGGTTAGGGTGTTGTTAGTGTGGTGGTTAGGGTGTGGTGGTTTGGTGATTTTGGGTTAGGGTGTTTGGGAGTGAGGGTTAGGGTGGTTATGAGGTTAGTGAGGTTTGTTGGTGGTGATGGGTTAGGGTTGTTTGGTAGTGATGGGTTAGGGTGTTGGTAGTGATGGGTTAGGGGTTTGTGTGATGGGTTAGGGTGTTTTGGGATGGTTTGGGTTCAGGGTGTTGGTAGTGATGGGGTTAGGGTGTGGTAGTGATGGGTTAGGGTGTTGGTAGTGATGGGTTAGGGTGTTGGTTGTGATGGGTTAGGGTGTTGGTAGTGATGGGTTAGGGTGTTGGTAGTGATGGGTTAGGTGTTGGTAGTGATGGGTTAGGGTGTTGGTAGTGATGGGTTCGGGTGTTGGTTGTGATGGGTTAGGGTGTGGGGAGGGTGTGATGGGTGGGTTGGGTGTTGGTCGTGATGGGTTAGGGTGTTGGTAGTGATGGGTTAGGGTGTTGGTTGTGTTGGGTGGGGTTTTGGTGTTGGGTGATGGGTTAGGGTGTTGTTTGGGGTGGGGTGTGGTGTGGTTTTGGGTTTTTTGGTGGTGATGGGTTAGGGTGTTGTGGTAGTGATGGGTTAGGGTGTTTGGTTGTGATGGGTTATGGGTGTTAGGTTGTGAGGGTGGTATTGTTGTGTTATAGGGTTGGGGGTTTGTGTAGTGATGGGTTAGGGTGTTGTGTGTGATGGGTTAGTGTGTGTTGGTGTGGGTGGGTTAGGGTTTTTTGGTGTGTGGGTTAGGGTTGGTTTGGTAGGTATTTGTTGAGGTGTTGTGTTGTATGGGTTAGGGGTTGTAGTTGGTTAGGTGGGTTTGTGATGGTGGGTTGGGTTTGGTAGGATTGGGTTAGGTGTGGTTTGGTTTGATGGGTTAGGGTGTTGGTGTGATGGTTAGGTGTTGTGGGTTTTTGTGGTATGATGGGTTGGGTGTTTGTTGTGATTTTTTAGGGTGTTGGTTTTCGATGGGTTTAGGGTGTTGGTGTGATGGGTTAGGTTTGGTTTAGTGAGGGGTTAGGGTTGTTTTTGTGGGTAGGGTTTTCTATTTTGTGGTTGGTTGGGTTGTGATGGGTTAGGTGGGTTGGTGTGATGGGTTAGGGTGTTGGTAGTGATGGGTTGGGTGTTGGGAGTGTGGGTTAGGGTGTTGGTTGTGATGGGTTAGGGTGTTGGTAGTGATGGTTAGGGTGTTGGTAGTGATGGGTTAGGGTGTTGGTAGTGATGGGTTAGGGTGTTGGTTGTGATGGGTTGATGGGTTAGGGTGTTGGTAGTGATGGGTTAGGGTGTTGGTAGTGATGGGTTAGGGTGTTGGTAGTGATGGGTTAGGGTGTTGGTTGTGATGGGTTAGGGTGTTGGTAGTGATGGGTTAGGGTGTTGGTAGTGATGGGTTAGGGTGTTGGTAGTGATGGGTTAGGGTGTTGTTAGTGATGGGTTAGGGTGTTGTTAGTGATGGGTATGAGGTCTCTGTGTTTCTCTACTATACCTACTAATGCTGTTGTTCTCTGTTTTCAGCATTTTATTAGATGAAGCTGGCCACATCAAGTTAACAGGTATGACCTTCTCTCTGTCCTTCTCTCTGACCTTCTCTCTGTCTGGGCTGTGGTGCTTCAGGAGGGGATGTGTTTATGTATGAGTGGGATTGAGCGGAAAAACTAAAAGAATGTGGTTGTGTAATATGTGTGTGTAGTGTGACGTGTGTGTGTGTGACGTGTGTTTCAGACTTTGGCCTGAGTAAGGAGTCAGTGGATGTTGATAAAAAGGCCTATTCATTCTGTGGGACGGTGGAGTACATGGCTCCTGAGGTCGTCAACAGAAGAGGACACAACCAGAGTGCTGACTGGTGGAGTCTAGGAGTACTCATGGTAAACACACACACACTACCCCACCTATATCTAACCTGTATCTATAACCCCAACCTAATGTATCTACCTGTATCTATAACCCCAACCTAATGTCTCTACCTGTATCTATCCTGTATCTATAACCCCAACCTAATGTCTCTACCTGTATCTAACCTGTATCTATAACCCCAACCTAATGTCTCTACCTGTATCTAACCTGTATCTATAACCCCAACCTAATGTCTCTACCTGTATCTAACCTGTATCTATAACCCCAACCTAATGTCTCTACCTGTATCTAACCTGTATCTATAACCCCAACCTAATGTCTCTACCTGTATCTATAACCCCAGCCTAATGTCTCTACCTGTATCTATCCTGTATCTATAACCCCAACCTAATGTCTCTACCTGTATCTATAACCCCAACCTAATGTCTCTACCTGTATCTAACCTGTATCTATAACCCCAACCTAATGTCTCTACCTGTATCTATCCTGTATCTATAACCCCAACCTAATGTCTCTACCTGTATCTATCCTGTATCTATAACCCCAACCTAATGTCTCTACCTGTATCTAACCTGTATCTATAACCCCAACCTAATGTCTCTACCTGTATCTATCCTTTATCTATAACCCCAACCTAATGTCTCTACCTGTATCTAACCTGTATCTATAACCCCAACCTAATGTCTCTACCTATATCTAACCTGTATCATTAACCCCAACCTAATGTCTCTACCTGTATATATCCTGTATCTATAACCCCAACCTAATGTCTCTACCTGTATCTAACCTGTATCTATAACCCCAACCTAATGTCTCTACCTGTATCTAACCTGTATCTATAACCCCAACCTAATGTCTCTACCTGTATCTAACCTGTATCTATAACCCCAACCTAATATCTCTACCTGTATCTAACCTGTATCTATAACCCCAACCTAATGTCTCTACCTGTATCTAACCTGTATCTATAACCCCAGTTTAAGCCAAGATAAAGCAAAGCAGTGCGATAAAAACAACAACACAGAGTTACCTATGGGGTAAAACAAAACATAAAGTCAAAAATACCAAAGAAAATATATATACAGTGTGTGCAAATGTAGCAAGTTATGGAGGTAAGGCAATACATAGGCTATAGTGCAAAATAATTACAATTAGTATTAACACTGGAGTGATAGATGTGCAAAAGATGATGTGCAAATAGAGATACTGGGGTACAAATGAGCAAAATAATTTTTATTTTTTTTATTTTATTTTTTTTATTTCACCTTTATTTAACCAGGTAAGCCAGTTGAGAACAAGTTCTCATTTACAACTGCGACCTGGCCAAGATAAAGCAAAGTAGTGCAATAAAAACAACAGAGTTACATATGGGGTAAAAAAAACATAAAGTCAGAAAATACAACAGAAAATATATATACAGTGTGTGCAAATGTAGCAAGTTATGGAGGTAAGGCAATAAATAGGCTATAGTGCAGAATAATTACAATAGTATTAACACTGGAATGCTAGATGTGCAAGAGATTATGTGCAAATAGAGATACTGGGGTGCAAAAGAGCAAAATAAATAATATAGGGATGAGGTAGTTGGGTGGGCTAATTTCGGATGGGCTGTGTACAGGTGCAGTGATCGGTAAGGTGCTCTGACAACTGATGCTTAAAGTTATCAAGGGAGATAAGAGTCTCCAGCTTCAGAGATTTTTGCAATTCGTTCCAGTCATTGGCAGCAGAGAACTGGAAGGAATGGCGGCCAAAGGAGGTGTTGGCTTTGGGAATGACCAGTGAGATATACCTGCTGGAGCGTAGACTACGGGTGGGTGCTGCTATGGTGACCAATGAGCTAAGATAAGGCGGGGATTTGCCTAGCAGTGATTTATAGATGGCCTGGAGCCAGTGGGTTTGACGACGAACATGTAGTGAGGACCAGCCAACAAGAGCGTACAGGTCACAGTGGTGGGTAGTGTATGGGGCTTTGGAGACAAAACGGATGGCACTGTGATAGACTACATCCAATTTGCTGAGTAGAGTGTTAGAGGCTATTTTGTAAATGACATCGCCGAAGTCAAGGATCGGTAGGATAGTCAGTTTTACGAGGGCATGTTTGGCAGCATGAGTGAAGGAGGCTTTATTGCGAAATAGGAAGCCGATTCTAGATTTAACTTTGGATTGGAGATTCTTTATGTGAGTCTGGAAGTTGAGTTTACAGTCTAACCAGACACCTAGGTATTTGTAGTTGTCCACATACTCTAGGTCAGACCCGTCGAGAGTGGTGATTCTAGTCGGGTGGGCGGGTGCCAGCAGCGTTCGATTGAAAAGCATGCATTTAGTTTTACTAGTGTTTAAGAGCAGTTGGAGGCTACTGAAGGATTGTTGTATGGCATTGAAGCTCGTTTGGAGGTTTGTTAACACAGTGTCCAATGAAGGGCCAGATGTATACAAAATGGTGTCGTCTGCGTAGAGGTGGATCAGAGAGTCACCAGCAGCAAGAGCGACATCATTGATATACACGGAGAAAAGTGTCGGCCCAAGAATTGAACCCTGTGGCACCCCCATAGAGACTGCCATAGGTCCAGACAACAGGCCCTCCGATTTGACACACTGAACTCTATCTGAGAAGTAGTTGGTGAACCAGGCGAGGCAGTCATTTGAGAAACCAAGGCTATTTAGTCTGCCAATAAGAATGCGGTGGTTGACAGAGTCGAAAGCCTTGGCCAGGTCGATGAAGACAGCTGCACAGTACTGTCTATTATCAATCGCGGGGAAGAGGTAGTTGAGTGGGCTAATTTCAGATGGGCTGTGTACAGGTGCAGTGATCGGTAAGCTGCTCTGACAACTGATGCTTAAAGTTAGTGAGGGAGATAAGAGTCTCCAGCTTCAGAGATTTTTGCAGTTATTGGCAGCAGAGAACTGGAAGGAATGGCGGCCAAAGGAGGTGTTGGCTTTGGGGATGACCAGTGAGATATACCTGCTGGAGCGCATACTATGGGTGGGTGTTGCTATGGTGACCAATGAGCTAAGATAAGGCGGGGATTTGCCTAGCAGTGATTTATAGATGGCCTGGAGCCAGTGGGTTTGGCGACGAATATGTAGTGAGGACCAGCCAACAAGAGCGTACAGGTCACAGTGGTGGGTAGTATACGGGGCTTTGGTGACAAAACGGATGGCACTGTGATAGACTACATCCAATTTGCTGAGTAGAGTGTTGGAGGCTATTTTGTAAATGACATCGCCAAAGTCATGAATCGGTAGGATAGTCAGTTTTACGAGGGCATGTTTGGCAGCATGAGTGAAGGAGGCTTTGTTTGCGAAATAGGAAGCTGATTCTAGATTTTACTTTGGATTGGAGATGCTTAATGTGAGTCTGGAAGGAGAGTTTACAGTCTAACCAGACACCTAGGTATTTGTAGTTGTCCACATACTCTAGGTCAGACCCGTCGAGAGTAGTGATTCTAGTCGGGTGGGCGGGTGCCAGCAGCGTTCGATTGAAGAGCATGCATTTAGTTTTACTAGCGTTTAAGAGCAGTTGGAGGCTACGGAAGGATTGTTGTATGCATTGAAGCTCGTTTGGAGGTTTGTTAACACAGTGTCCAATGAAGGGCCAGATGTATACAAAATGGTGTCGTCTGCGTAGAGGTGGATCTGAGAGTCACCAGCAGCAAGAGCGACATCATTGATATACATGGAGAAAAGAGTCGGCCCAAGAATTGAACCCTGTGGCACCCCCATAGAGACTGCCATAGGTCCAGACAACAGGCCCTCCGATTTGACACATTGAACTCTATCTGAGAAGTAGTTGGTGAACCAGGCGAGGCAGTCATTTGAGAAACCAAGGCTATTTAGTCTGCCAATAAGAATGCGGTGGTTGACAGAGTCGAAAGCCTTGGCCAGGTCGATGAAGACGGCTGCACAGTACTGTCTATTATCGATCGCGGTTATAATATCGTTTAGGACCTTGAGCGTGGCTGAGGTGCACCCATGACCAGCTCGGAAACCGGATTGCATTTGTTAACTTGGCTTTCGAAAGGCAGGGCAGGATGGATATAGGTCTGTAACAGTTTTGATCTAGAGTGTCACCCCCTTTGAAGAGGGGGATGACCGCTGCAGCTTTCCAATCTCTGGGGATCTCAGACGTTACGAAAGAGAGGTTGAACAGGCTAGTAATAGGGGTTGCGACAATTTCAGCGGCTATTTTTAGAAAGAAAGGGTCCAGATTGTCTAGCCCAGATTATTTGTAGGGGTCCAGATTTTGCAGCTCTTTCAGAACATCAGCTGTCTGAATTTGTGTGAAGGAGAAGCGGGGGGTGCATGGGCGAATTGCAGCGGAGGGTGCAGAGCTGGTGGCCGGGGTAATGGTAGCCAGGTGGAAAGCATGGCCAGCCGTAGCAAAATGTTTGTTGAAATTCTCGATTATTGTAGATTTATCGGTGGTGATAGTGTTTCCTAGCCTCAGTGCAGTGGGCAGCTGGGAGGAGGTGCTCTTATTCTCCATGGACTTTACAGTGTCCCAAAACTTTTTGGAGTTAGTGCTACAGGATGCAAATTTCTGTTTGAAAAAGCTAGCCTTTGCTTTCCTAACTGCTTGTGTATATTGGTTCCTAACTTCCCTGAAAAGTTGCATATCGCGGGGGCTATTCGATGCAAATGCAGTACGCCACAGGATGTTTTTGTGCTGGTCAAGGGCAGTCAAGTCTGAGGAGAACCAGGGGCTATATCTGTTCTTAGTTCTGAATTTTTTGAATGGGGCATGCTTATTTAAGATTGAGAGGAAAGCACTTTTATAGAACAACCAGACATCCTCTACTGACGGAATGAGATCAATATCCATCCAGGATACCTGGGCCAGGTCAATTAGGAAGGCCTGTTCGCTAAAGTGTTTTAGGGAGCGTTTGACAGTGATGAGGGGTGGTCGTTTGACCGCGGACCCATTACGGACGCAGGCAATAAGGCAGTGATCGCTGAGGATTCAGACACTGCTAGAACATCAGGGTTGGCGGAGTGTGCTAACGCAGTGAATAACTCAAACATAGGAAGTAGGCTTCTGATGTTAACGTGCAGAAAACCAAGGCTTTTACGGTTACAGAAGTCAACAAATGATAGCGCCTGGGGAGTAGGAGTGATACTGGGGGCTATAGGGCCTGGGTTAACCTCTACATCACCAGAGGAACAGAGGAGGAATAGAATAAGGATACGGCTAAAGGCTTTAAGAACTGGTCTTCTAGTGCGTTGGGTACAGAGAATAAAGGGGACAGATTTCCGGGCGATGTAGAATAGATTCAGGGCATTATGTACAGAAAAGGATATGGAAGGATATGAGTACAGTGGAGGTAAACCTAAGCGTTGGGTAACAATGAAAGAGATAGCATCACTGGAGGCACCGATTGAGCCGGTCTCGGCGTGTATGGGGGGTGGAACAAAGGAGCTATTTGAGGCAGTTTGAGAATGACTTGGGGTTCTATATTGAAATTGTATAATAAGAACTAACTGGAACAGCAATAGGCAAGGCATATTGACATGGGAGAGAGGCATAAAGCAATCACAGGTGTTATTAGAGAGAGCTAAGACAACAACTGGCAATTGCGATGAAAGTTTGGGCTGAGGCTAAACAGATAAACAGGACAGGGTACAGTGTAAAGGAACAGTCCAGCAGGCATCAGCTGTGCAGCTGAGTGATCATAAGGTCCAGTGAACAGCAATATGTGAGTCCGAGAGCAGTTCGAATTGGTGCTAAAGCACAGCGAGCAGGAAGCACGGCTGTTTTTTGCGTGTGCTAGCGGGCCAGGGCTAGCAGATGGATCTTCGTGGTCGTCGCAACGGGAAGCCTGTTGAAACCACAGACGATTACGTCGGCAGACCAGTCGTGATGGATCGGTGGGGCTCCGTGTCGACTCTAGGAGGTCCCGTCCGGTTGACAGAGAGGTATCCAGGAGATGTGCCTAACTTGAGGCTAGCTCAAGGTTGATTAGCCAACAACATCCATTTGGTTGCAGATAGCTAGTTGCGATGATCAGGTGTTGAAGGTCCAGTGATTTAGTGATTCCGGCAGAAAATCTGATATGTTCTGGGTCGATAACGCGCTGTGCATACAGTGCAGACTGGCCGATAATAGTCCAGACTAGAGCTGGCTTGTAGGTAGTGCAGGCCACGGACAATGGTGAAAAAACGCTAACGGTGGCTAATGGCAAGTAGCTAGTTAGCTGGCTACTCCCGTCCGGTAGACAACGAGGTAGATAGCCTTGAGCCAGGCCCATATCCTGGCTAACTGGTGCTTGCTTCGGGGGCAGTGGTGATTAGCCTACAGCAACATCCATTCGGTTGCGGCTAGCTAGTTGCAATCCGGTGTTAGGGTCCAGTGATTCAGTTATTCTGTCAGGAAATCTGATGTTCTGGGTGAAAAGCGCTAACGGTGGCTAATAGCAAGTAGCTAGTTAGCTGGCTAGCTAGTTTCAACTGGAGATTCTAGATAAAGGTAAGTAAATAATAGAATCCGTTCCACATTGAGTGAGGCGGGTTGCAGGAAAGTATATTTATTAGAAGGATGAAAAGTGTGATAAGGAAATATGTACGAAAAATAAAATAAATAAATAAAAAAACAGGCTATTTACACGGACACACAACAAAGAACACGACCGCACTGCTATGCCATCTTGGATAGTCACCAAGAAAACAATTGGTAACACACTACGCCGTGAAGGACTGAAATCCTGCAGCGCCCGCAAGGTCCCCCTGCTCAAGAAAGCACATATACAGGCCCGTCTGAAGTTTGCCAATGAACATCCGAATGATTCAGAGGAGAACTGGGTGAAAGTGTTGTGGTCAGATGAGACCAAAATGGAGCTCTTTGGCATCAACTCAACTCGCCGTGTTTGGAGGAGGAGAAATGCTGCCTATGACCCCAAGAACGCCATCCCCACCGTCAAACATGGAGGTGGAAACATTATGCTTTGGGGGTGTTTTTCTGCTAAGGGGACAGGACAACTTCACCGCATCAAAGGGACGATGGACGGCGCCATGTACCGTCAAATCTTGGGTGAGAACCTCCTTCCCTCAGCCAGGGCATTGAAAATGGGTCGTGGATGGGTATTCCAGCATGACAATGACCCAAAACACACGGCCAAGGCAACAAAGGAATGGCTCAAGAAGAAGCACGTTAAGGTCCTGGAGTGGCCTAGCCAGTCTCCAGACCTTAATCCCATAGAAAATCTGTGGAGGGAGCTTAAGGTTCGAGTTGCCAAACGTCAGCCTCGAAACCTTAATGACTTGGAGAAGATCTGCAAAAAGGAGTGGGACAAAATCCCTCCTGAGATGTGTGCAAACATGGTGGCCAACTACAAGAATTGTCTGACCTCTGTGATTGCCAACAAGGGTTTTGCCACCAAGTACTAAGTCATGTTTTGCAGAGGGGTCAAATACTTATTTCCCTCATTAAAATGCAAATCAATTTATAACATTTTTGACATGCGTTTTTCTGGATTTTTTTGTTTGTTATTCTGTCTCTCACTGTTCAAATAAACCTACCATTAAAATTATAGACTGATCATGTCTTTGTCAGTGGGCAAACGTACAAAATCAGCAGGGGATCAAATACTTTTTTCCCTCACTGTATAACCCCAGCCTGATGTCTGTCTCTACCTGTATCTAACCTGTATCTATAACCCGACCTAATGTCTCTACCTGTATCTATCCTGTATCTATAACCCCAACCTAATGTCTCTACCTGTATCTAACCTGTATCTATAACCCCAACCTAATGTCTCTACCTGTATCTAACCTGTATCTATAACCCCAACCTAATGTCTCTACCTGTATCTAACCTGTATCTATAACCCCAACCTAATGTCTCTACCTGTATCTAACCTGTATCTATAACCCCAACCTAATGTCTCTACCTGTATCTAACCTGTATCTATAACCCCAACCTAATGTCTCTACCTGTATCTAACCTGTATCTATAACCCCAACCTAATGTCTCTACCTGTATCTAACCTGTATCTATAACCCCAACCTAATGTCTCTACCTGTATCTAACCTGTATCTATAACCCCAACCTAATGTCTCTACCTGTATCTAACCTGTATCTATAACCCCAACCTAATGTCTCTACCTGTATCTAACCTGTATCTATAACCCCAACCTAATGTCTCTACCTGTATCTAACCTGTATCTATAACCCCAACCTAATGTCTCTACCTGTATCTAACCTGTATCTATAACCCCAACCTAATGTCTCTACCTGTATCTATAACCCCAACCTAATGTCTCTACCTGTATCTAACCTGTATCTATAACCCCTACCTAATGTCTCTACCTGTATCTAACCTGTATCTATAACCCCAACCTAATGTCTCTACCTGTATCTATCCTGTATCTATAACCCCTACCTAATGTCTCTACCTGTATCTATAACCCCAACCTAATGTCTGTCTCTCATCTGTTATAGTTTGAAATGCTGACCGGGACGTTACCGTTTCAGGGGAAAGACCGCAACGAGACCATGAACATGATCCTCAAGTAAGTCAATCACACAGGTTCTACATCATGTTATGAAACAGATTAACTAACCTGCCAATATTGATGCACTTGCTAAGTCTAGGGTTCTTAGTTAACCTGCTAATATTGATGCACTTGCTAAGTCTAGGGGTCTTAGTTAACCTGCCAATATTGATGCACTTGCTAAGTCTAGGGGTCTTAGTTAACCTGCCAATATTGATGCACTTGCTAAGTCTAGGGGTCTTAGTTAACCTGCCAATATTGATGCACTTGCTAAGTCTAGGGGTCTTAGTTAACCTGCCAATATTGATACACTTGCTAAGTCTAGGGGTCTTAGTTAACCTGCTAATATTGATGCACTTGTTAAGTCTAGGGGTCTTTTTTTAGTTAACCTGCCAATATTGATGCACTTGCTAAGTCTAGGGGTCTTAGTTAACCTGCCAATATTGATGCACTTGCTAAGTCTAGGGGTCTTAGTTAACCTGCCAATATTGATGCACTTGCTAAGTCTAGGGGTCTTAGTTAACCTGCTAATATTGATGCACTTGCTAAGTCTAGGGGTCTTAGTTAACTGGTTTGTAACCTGATTTGAGACGTGCATCTATGTGAGAAATCGCCGTATGCGCCTGGGTGTTGAATGCATGTACCCAGGAGACAGCAACCTTACTAAATTTGATTTGTGTTTGAATTCTTCGTGGGTTTGTGTAATTTGAGGGAAATATGTGTCTCTTTTATGATCATCCATTTGGCAGGAGGTTAAAAAGTGCAGCTTGGTTTCCACCTCATTTTGTGGGCAGTGGCCACATCCTGTCTTCTCTTGAGAGCCAGGTCTGCCTATGGTGTCCTCTCTCTCAATAGCAAGGCTATGCTCACTGAGTCTGTACATAGTCAAAGCTTTCCTTAAGTTTGGGTCAGTCACAGTGGTCAGGTATTCTGCCACTGTCTACTCTCTGTTTAGGGCCAAATAGCGTTCTAGTTTGCTCCGTTTTTTTGTTGTTGATTCTTTCCAGTGTGTCAAGTAGTTCTCTTTTTGTTTTCTCATGATTTGGTTGGGTCTAATTGTGTTGCTGTCCTGGGGCTCTGTGGGGTCTGTTTGTGTTTGTGAACAGAGCCCCATGACCAGCTGGCTAAGGGGACTCTTCTCTAGGTTCATCTCTCTGTAGGTGATGGCTTTGTTATGGAAGTTTTGAGAATCACTTCTTTTTAGGTGGTTGTAGAATTTAACAGCTCTTTTCTGGATTTTGATAATTTGTGGGTATCGGCCTAATTCTGCTCTGCATGCATTATTTGGTGTTTTACGTTGTACACAGAGTATATTTTAGCAGAATTCTGCATGCAGAGTCTCAATTTGGTGTTTGTCCCATTTTGTGAATTCTTGGTTGGTGAGCGGACCCCAGCCCTCACAACCATAAAGGGCAATGGGTTCTATAATTGATTCAAGTATTTTTAGCCAGGTCCTAATTGGGATGTAGAATTGTGTTCCTTTTGATGGCATAGAAGGCCCTTCTTGCCTTGTCTCTCAGATCGTTCACAGCTTTGTGGAAGTTACCTGTGGTGCTGATGTTTAGGCCGAGGGATGTATAGTTTTGTGTGTGCTCTAGGGCAACGGTGTCTATATGGAATTTGTATTTGTGGTCCTGGCAACTGAACGTTTTTGGGAGCACCATTATTTTTGTCTTACTGAGATTTACTGTCAGGGCCCAGGTCTGACAGAATCTGTGCAGAATATCTATGTGCTGCTGTAGGCCCTCCTTGGTTGGGGACAGAAGCACCAGATCATCTGCACCAGATCATTCATTGAGGGTGGGGCTCAAGCTGCATCCCTGTCTCACGCAAATTCTGACCATACACTTATTGTTTGTGTGCATTGATTTTATAATATTGTAGGTTTTCCCCCAAAACCCCTTTCCATCATTTTATACAGCAGGCCATAATGCCAAATTGAGTCAAAAGCTTTTTTGAAATCAACAAAGCATGAGAAAACGTTGCTTTTGATAATATTTTTTGGGGGTCAATTAGGATGTGCAGGGTGTATACGTGGTCTGTCGTACAGTATTTTGGTAAGAAGCCAATTTTACATTTGCTCAGGACATTGGTTTCACTCTCCTCTCTGCTCTCTCTCCCTCTCTCCTTCCCTCCTCAGAGCTAAGTTAGGGATGCCTCACTTCCTGAGTCTAGAAGCCCAGAGTCTGCTCAGAATGCTGTTTAAACGCAACCCTGCTAACCGCCTGGGTAAGTTTATTTGGATCCCCATTAGCTTTTGCACAGGCATCAGCTATTCTTACTGGGGTCCACACAAAACATGACAAGTAACAAAACACTGATAGAACATTCACACAAATTAACCACCTGGGTAAGCGAGAGAGAGAGAGTGTGTGTGTGTGTGTGTGTGTGTTCCTGATGGTTGTCTTGCTGTAGGGGCTGGTGTGTGTGTGTGTGTGTGTGTGTGTCACTGATGGTGCATTGTATCTGTGTAGGGGCTGGGGCTGACGGGGTGGAGGAGATCAAACGTCACGCCTTCTTCTCAACCATCGACTGGAACGTGAGTCACACACACAAAATGCTAACAGTAGACAGTAAGATGGCGCCGACAGACATGGCAGCTCTGCTTCTAGCTCCTAAGCAACAGACATGGCAGCTCTGCTTCTAGCTCCTAAGCAACAGACATGGCAGCTCTGCTTCTAGCTCCTAAGCAACAGACATGGCAGCTCTGCTTCTAGCTCCTAAGCAGCAGACATGGCAGCTCTGCTTCTAGCTCCTAAGCAACAGACATGGCAGCTCTGCTTCTAGCTCCTGAGCAACAGACACGGCAGCTCTGCTTCTAGCTCCTAAGCAGCAGACATGGCAGCTCTGCTTCCAGCTCCTAAGCAACAGACATGGCAGCTCTGCTTCCAGCTCCTAAGCAACAGACATGGCAGCTCTGCTTCTAGCTCCTAAGCAACAGACATGGCAGCTCTGCTTCCAGCTCCTAAGCTACAGACATGGCAGCTCTGCTTCTAGCTCCTAAGCAACAGACATGGCAGCTCTACTTCTAGCTCCTAAGCAACAGACATGGCAGCTCTGCTTCCAGCTCCTAAGCTACAGACATGGCAGCTCTGCTTCTAGATCCTAAGCAACAGACATGGCAGCTCTGCTTCTAGCTCCTAAGCAACAGACATGGCAGCTCTGCTTCTAGCTCCTAAGCAACAGACATGGCAGCTCTGCTTCTAGCTCCTAAGCAACAGACATGGCAGCTCTGCTTCTAGCTCCTAAGCAACAGACATGGCAGCTCTGCTTCTAGCTCCTAAGCAACAGACATGGCAGCTCTGCTTCTAGCTCCTAAGCAACAGACATGGCAGCTCTGCTTCTAGCTCCTAAGCAACAGACATGGCAGCTCTGCTTCTAGCTCCTAAGCAACAGACATGGCAGCTCTGCTTCTAGCTCCTAAGCAACAGACATGGCAGCTCTGCTTCTAGCTCCTAAGCAACTTTGCAGTATTTTAATTTGTTTTATTTCTTACATTATCAGCCCAGAACGTGTTTTGTGTTATTACATACAGCATTAAATAACTTTGGGATATGAGAGCGGCGGTAACTCACCAGCATTCCGACCAGAAATACGACTTTCCCTAATTGGAACCTATGTTCGTACCCCCACCAAAGCAATTGAACTTATCCCAGAGGCTGCTCCAAGACGCTGCCGGTGGAGAAAATCTATTCGGTGTGGACATCTAGTCCGACTCAGGAGGCGTGCACACCATCCACCGCTTCCGAGTATATTACTCACTAATGTTCAGCCCTGGACAATAAAGTAGACAAGCTCAGGGCGAGGATCTCCTTCCAAAGAGACATCAGGGACTGTAACATACTCTGTTTCACGGAATCATGGCTCTCTCCGGATATACTGTCCCCGTCCATACAGCCAGCTGGGTTCTCAGTACATCGCACAGACAGGAATAATGAACTCTCCGAGAAGAAGAAAGGCGGTGGTGTATGTTTTATTATGAACTACTCATGGTGTGATTGTGATAACGTACAGGAACTCAAGTCCTTTTGTTCACCTGACCGAGAATACCTCACAATCAAATGCTGACTGTATTACCTCCCAAGAGAATTCTCTTCGGTTATAGTCACAGCCGTGTATATTCCCCCTCAAGCCAATACCACAACGGCCCTCAAAGAACTACGCTGGACTTTGTGCAAACTGGAAACCACATATCCTGAGGCCGCATGTATTGTAGCTGGGGATTTTAACAAAGCAAATTTGAGGAAAACGCTACCGACGTTCTATCAACACATAGCCTTCTGGAATGGCTAGAAGGCCCTCCCCTGCCCTCCCTTCGGCAAATCAGATCACGACTCCATCCTGCTCCTCCCTTCCTATAGGCAGAAACTCAAACAGGAAGTACCCATGCTAATTGTCCATTTGGAAGACCCATTTGCGACCAAGCTTTAACTTCCTGACTGATGTCTTGAGATGTTGCTTCAATGTATCCACATAATTTTCCTTCCTCATGGTGCCATCTATTTTGTGAAGTGCACCAGTCCCTCCTGCAGCAAAGCACCCCCACAGCATGATGCTGCCACCCCCGTGCTTCACGGTTGGGATGGTGTTCTTTGGCTTGCAAGCGTCCCTCTTTTTCCTCCAAACATAACGATGGTCATTATTTACATTTACGTAATTTAGCAGACGCTCTTATCCCGAGCGACTTATAAATTGGTACATTATGGCCAAACAGTTCTATTTTTGTTTCATCAGACCAGAGGACATTTCTCCAAAAAGTATGATCTTTGTCCTCATGTGCAGTTGCAAACCGTAGTCTGTCTTTTTTATGGCGTTTTTGGAGCAGTGGCTTCTTCCTTGCTGAGCAGCCTTTCAGGTTATGTCGATATACGACTTGTTTTACTGTGGATATAGATACTTTTGTACCTGTTTCCTCCAGCATCTTCACAAGGTCCTATGCTGTTGTTCTGGGATTGATTTGCACTTTTCGCATCAAAGTACGTTCATCTCTAGGAGACAGAACACGTCTCCTTCCTGAGCGGTATGATGGCTGCGTGGTCCCATGGTGTTTATACTTGCATACTATTCTTTGTACAGATGAACGTGGTACCTTCAGGCGTTTGGAAATTGCTCCCAAGGATGAACCAGACATGTGGAGGTCTACAATTTTTTTCCTGAGGTCTTGGCTGATTTATTTTGATTTTCCCATGATGTCAAATTTCCGATCGATAAAAGACAGTACTGTGCAGCCGTCTTCATCGACCTGGCCAAGACTTTCGACTCTGTCAATCACCTTCTCCTCTAGTACTCTGTTCTTCTCCTGCTCCTGCTCTTTCTCCTGTTGATGTTGTCTCACCACAGTCCAGAGTGCAGTCTCTCTCTACCTCCAGCTCTCCAGGTCTAGTTAAGGGGGTGTTGTTGTGCTGGACTGTTGTCTGGGTCTGTGCTGACTGGAGTGTAATCACCTGCTGTTCCAGCTCCACCTGCCTTACTTCCAGCTGGGTTAATTTATCCTTCATTTCAATGAGGGAGTAGTACTCTGTGCTGGGAAGTTGACTTTCCGCTTGTGTAGGACTCTGTGGGGTTATTTAATGAAGAGGTCTGGTCTGATCCGCTCTGGGTGGGGGTATCTTTCTCAAGGGAGAGCTGCTCCTGCTGAGCTATTTCTTTGATTAGGTGAAAGTCCAGCTGGAACTGTTTGGGGTTGCCCTGTACCAATACTGTTCCAGATTTATAGAGATTTATATTAGCTGACTCAGAGTCCTCGTTGTCTAGTATCCTGAGTTTCTACCCATCGCTAACACCCCTCTTCTTAACAGAGGGATAGTGTGCTAGTATAGCACTGTGCCATGCCAGGGGATGGTCTGTGTGGAAGATAAGGTTGGTTATGTTCCCATTTTTATAAAATTCAGCAAAAGTGTCTCCTGATTTCCCATAAGGAGCTTCATTTTGTAATCTTTTCGTGTCTTATCATTCTTTACATACAGAGGGTACTGTATTTTAATTACCTCTGAACAGCGGGAGCGTGCATCTAAGGACTCTCCATTTGGGATAGACTGTGCGACTCTCCTGCCATTGTTGGGCTCAAGGGCTTTGACACCTCACTTCCCACATGTCAGTGCTAATTGAAGTTGTATCTCTTTGTACTAGCAAGCTTGGTAGCCTTAGCATTCAGTCCTTATAAAGTAAAATATATCATTGTAATGCATTTTTCTTGGTTTTTGAAAGTAAAAAATAGCTTCAGACTAAACATTACTCACTCAGTTCCAGGTTGGATGGTGTTTTCAGGTTTCTGTTTGTTTGCCAGAGCATTTGCTGTATAGCTTGGGAATAGTAATCCTTGGTAGTAGAAAGCCTTCCAGGTAATTCCATCCAAAATCAGGTTGTAGCATCGTGTATATGTCCCTGCCAAAATATCCAAGTTTATCTAATTCTAAATCTATATTGTTTGTAAAAACATGCTGAAAAATATTTGATCTCTGTCTCTGTCTCTCTTCTCTTTTGTTTTTATTATTTTTTTTTGTTTTTTTTTTGTTTTCTTTTTGTTTTTTGTTTATTTTTTTTTTTTTTTTATTTGTTTTTTTTTTTTTTGTGTATTTTGTTTTTTTGCTAATTTTTGGTTATTTATTTTTTGTTTTTTAACCTAGGGGTTATATTTTGTTATTCTCTTTTTTTTAAATTTGTTCTTTTTTTTTTATTATATTTTCTTTATTTTTTTTGGTATTTTTTTTGATTTTTTTTATATTTTTTTGTTTTTTCCCCCTTAATTTTTTTGTTTTTTTTGTTTTTTTCTATTTCTTTTTTCCTATCTCTTTTTTTCTAATCTTCCTCTGTCTCTGCCCTTTTCTTCTCTGGTTTCTCTCTTCTTCTTCGTCTTTTTCTCTTCCTCTCAATTAAATTCTTTTCAATTCGTTTTTTGGCAGACCGTAACAATGTACAATTCCCAAAGTTTATTTTGGGGATATTTACAATAAAAAAAATAAAAAAAAAACGAAATAAAAAAATTGTCAAGGGGAAAAAAAACAAAAATAAAAACAAACAAAAAAAAAAACGGTCAATAAAACCCAACATTAAACCCTAATAACAATAATCATCAGTTGAGGAAATGTGCGGGTTTTTGGGCGTGGGCCATGCCCCCTCAATTATGGCCGGGAAGCAAGTAGTGCCCTTCCCAAACCCCCACGCTCTCGCGTCCCCCCCCCCAACAGGAGGGGTTTACCCTTTCCCTAATCAGAGAGGTTTTTTTTAAAACCCGGGAAAAGGGGGTTTTTTTAAAATTTGGGGAAAAGGGGAAATGACATACAAATTTGTTTTTTTATTTTTGACTTTTTTTGTCGGGGAAATGCGGGGCCCCGTCTCAGGTTCTGTTTTTTGGCGGGGGTTTTTTTTGGCAAACCCTTTCCTTTTAAGGGGAAAGGCCAGGTTTTTTTCTTCTCCCCCTTCTCAATGGAAAGGGGGGGCCCTCACGGGGCCGGGACTTTGTAAAGGGTTTTTTTCAAGGGTTTTTTTGATCAGCCCCCCAGGGGCAAATATTTAGCCATAGTGAAAAGGCGTTTTAGGGCCAGATGAACTGTTTTTGTTTACCCTCTCTTTATTTCTTCTAATAAAAGGGATTAGCAAATTGGGGTTAAAGGGCTGGAAAGGGTGGTTGGGATGGGGGTTTGGTTTTTTTAAAAAATCTTTCTTAAAATTTGGTAAGTTTATTATGGGGTTTTTATTTTATCTTCTTTTTTTTATCTTTGTATCCCCTTTCACTTTTTGGTTTTTTCCCTCTTGGGGGGCCCTGGGGGGAAAAAAGGGGGAATTTTCCCTTTTATCCCAGGTTTCCCCCTCCCCTTATGTAACCCAATTTTAAACCAAATTAAAATTTTTGGGACCCTTCTCGCGGGGGGCTTAAAATCTTAAAATTTTTGGAATGTTTTTCTCGTGTCTTCTTTATTTTTAGATTTAAATGCTGACCCCTTTTATCTATTTTAATCTCTTTTTTCTCTCTCTATATTCTCTCTCTTTACTCTCCTTTTTCCTCTTTCCCTTCTTTTTTGCTCTCCCCTCTTTCCTCCTCTCTCTCTTATATTTTTTCCTTTCTCTCCCCTCTTCTCTCTTTTCTGGGGGTTCTCTCTCTTCTCTGTCCCCTCTCTCCGTTTTTTTCTCTCTCTTTGCTTTTTTCCCTGGGCTCTTTTCTTTTGGGTTCTATCTTTCTCTTTGTCTCTCTTTGTCTCGCTCTCCTCTCTCTCTCTCTGTCTCTCTCTGTGTCTCTCGCTCTCTCTCTCTCTCTTTGTCTCTCTCTTTGTCTCTCTCTCTCTCTTTGTCTCTCTTTGTCTCGCTCTCTCTCTCTCTTCTGGTCTCTCTCTCTCTGTGTCTCTCTCGCTCTCTCTCTCTCTCTGTCTCTCTCTTTGTCTCTCTCTCTCTTTGTCTCTACACTTTTCATTATGAAATGGAATGGAAACTATATGAATATCTCATCCCTTCCTTCTCTCCCTCCATAGAAGCTCTACAGGACAGAGCTCCAGCCTCCATTCAAACCAGCAGCAGGGAAACCTGACGACACGTTCTGCTTCGACCCAGAGTTTTCACCGCTAAAAACACCCCAAGGTACGTGAGGGTTATGGTCACAGTGTGTAGAGGTTTATGGTCACAGTGTAGATGTAGGGTTATGGTCACAGGTCGAGGTTTATGGTCACAGTGTAGAGGTTATGGTCACAGTGTAGAGGTTATGGTCACAGTGTAGAGGTTATGGTCACAGTGTAGATTCAGGCTCTGATCAGTCCCTACACCCAAACGAGAGTATTGCGCTCATCCACCTCTGGCCTGCTGGCTCCCCTTCCTCTGCGGAAGCATAGTTCCCGCTCAGCCCAGTCAAAACTGTTCGCTGCTCTGGCACCCCAATGGTGGAACAAGCTCCCTCACGACGCCAGGACAGCGGAGTCACTCACCACCTTCCGGAGACATTTGAAACCCCACCTCTTTAAGGAATACCTGGGATAGGATAAAGGAATCCTTCTACCCCCCCCCCCCCCCCCCAATTGTAAAGTGGTTATCCCACTGGCTATAGGGTGAACGCACCAATTTGTGAGTCGCTCTGGCTAAGAGCGTCTGCTAAATGACGTTAATGTGCCCTTGAGCAAGGCACTTAACCCTAATTGCTCCTGTAAGTCGCTCTGGATAAGAGCGTCTGCTAAATGACTAAAATGTAAATGTAAATGTAGATTCTCCAGGTCTTTCTTCTATTGTTAACACACATCTCTCCTGTGTCTGTGTGTGTCTGTGTGTGTCTGTGTGTGTCTGTGTGTGTCTGTGTGTGTCTGTGTGTGTCTGTGTGTGTCTGTGCGTGTCTGTGTATGTATATATAGACTCCCCAGGGATTCCTCCCAGTGCGAACGCCCATCAGCTGTTTAAAGGGTTCAGCTTCGTGGCTCCAGCCTCTCTGGATGACAACAAGGGCTCTCCTCTCCTCAGCATCCTACCGATAGTACAGGTGCACCCACCCACAGCTCAACATTGTGCCTTTAGTACGCTTGCACACGCTTGAATGTTTCAATTAATTTGCTCTCTCACAGCCCTTGACTCGTTTGGTGCTGCCACCTGGTGGATGAAGTGTAGAAGTGTATCCTGGTAGTGTTTCCTAACTGTGTGCTATCACTAAACTACCTACTACATAACAGTACTCCATTTGACATGATATTGCTACAATGTAATTACAGTGTAGGTACATTATTCCATAGTAGGTAACTTGTGATTTGTGCATTACATTGTTACCTCCTCCTCTCTCGCCTCTTTAAAAAAATGTTTTTATTTTACCAGACATTCTTATTTATAATGATCTCTCTCTCTCTCTGTCTCTGTCTCTCTCTCTCTCTCTCTCTCTCTCTCTCTCTCTCTCTCTCTCTCTCTCTCTCTCTCTCTCTCTCTCTCTGCTCTGTAGATGCATGGTGGATCGGCCCAGTTCTCAGACCTGTATGAGCTTCAGGAGGATATTGGAGTTGGATCGTATTCGATCTGTAAACGCTGTGTACACAGAGTGTCTGCAATGGACTACGCTGTCAAGGTAACATCATACCCATTAATATAGGTAACCCTAACCCGGTCACATCATAAGAGGAGCACGCCCCCATTCTCATCGACGGGGCTGTAGTGGAGCAGGTTGAAAGCTTCAAGTTCATTGGTGTCCACATCACCAACAAACTATCATGGTCCAAACACACCAAGACAGTCGTGAAGAGTGCACGACAAAGCCTATTCCCCCTCATGAGACACGGCAAGCGGTACCGGAGCGCCAAGTCTAGGTCCAAAAGGCTTCCTAACAGCTTCTACCCCCAAGCCGTAAGAACAACTAATCAAATGGCTACCGGGACTATAAGTCTCTGAATGTCCTTGAGTGGCCCAGCCAGAGCCCGGACTTGAACCCGATCGAACATCTCTGGAGAGACCTGAAAATAGCTGTGCAGCGACGCTCCCCATCCAACCTGACAGGCCTTGAGAGGATCTGCAGAGAAGAATGGGAGAAACTCCCCAAATACAGGTGTGCCAAGCTTGTAGTGTCATACCCAAGAAGACTCAAGGCTGTAATCGCTGCCAAAGGTGCTTCAACAAAGTACTGAGTAAAGTGTCTGAATACTTATGTAAATGTGATATTTCAGTTTTTTTTTTTTTATACATTGGCAAAAATGTCTAAAGTGTGTAGGAAAGGCGTGAGTAGGAAAGGCGTACTGAACACAGTGGTGCAGATCACCTCAAGATAAAAACATAATATTCAATATCTGTAAATTAACTAAATATTAGCACTTCACATACTGGTGCATAATAACCTTCAATCTGGATAACAACACAAATCATAAGGCTAGAGAAATGGGTCAACAAATATTACGAAAACAAGCAACACCCAAACATGGAGAGTAAACAAGGACAACCAATCTCCAAAAGAAAACGAGACTCCTCGACGGACACAGACGATTTAAGCTTTTCACCACTGGGAATGGTAAGAGTGGAAACCGATCTGTTAAAGTCGATAAACAACAAACTGGGCTTGAATCAGTCAGTAAAGAGATGAAGGAGCCTTGAGATGAGAGACGATTAAGATGCCACAATGGAGAAGGAAACAATCAAGCTAAAGGGACAATAAGACGGAAACGGACGTTAAGGAACTTCAGAAGGAGAACATCTTCCTGAGAGAAGCCTTACTTAACAAACAGACTAGATCTATGAGAGAAAATCTGCTACTTACTGGTATCCAAGAGAAAGAAGGAGAAGTTCCTGAGGGTGTAGTGAGGGAGTTCCTCCTTTACAGCGCTTCAGATCCCACACGAAGCTGTCAACAAAATCTAACTCGAACGTGTACACCATTTCGGACAAAGAGGACAGAGATATGAGCGCCCAATCGTTGCCAAATTAGCTTTCTTTAAGGATAAAATAATGGATAAAAGCCTGGGTAAAAGAGTAGGGCTAGGGTTAGGGTTAGGGTTGGGGTTGGGGTTAGGGCTAGGGTTAGGGCTAGGGTTAGGGTTGGGGTTAGGGCTAGGGCTAGGGTTAGGGCTAGGGTTAGGGCTAGGGTTAGGGTTAGGGTTAGGGTTAGGGCTAGGGCTAGGGCTAGGGCTAGGGCTAGGGCTAGGGTTAGGGCTAGGGCTAGGGCTAGGGCTAGGGCTAGGGTTAGGGCTGGGGTTGGGGTTGGGGTTGGGGTTGGGGTTAGGGTTGGGGTTGGGGTTGCAGTTGAAAGACTCATTGGCACGACACAAGACGTATGTGGCAGGGTCTACAGACAATCACGGACTACAAAAGGAAAAGCAGCCACGTCGCCGACACTGACGTCTCGCTTCCAGACAAGCTAAACACTTTCTTCGCCCGCTTTGAGGATGACACAGTGCCACTGATGAGGCCCACTACCAAGGACTGTGGGCTCTCCTTCTCCATAGCCGACGTGAGTAAGACATTTAAGCATGTTAACCCCCGCAAAGCTGCCGGCCCAGACGGCATCCATAGCTGCGTCCTCAGAGCATGCGCAGACCAGCTGGCTGGTGTGTTTATGGACATATTCAATCTCTCCCTTTCCCAGTCTGCTGTTCCCACATGCTTCAAGATGTCCACCATTGTTCCTGTACCCAAGAAAGCAAAGGTAACTGAACTAAATGACTATCGCCCTGTAGCACTCACCTCTGTCATCATGAAGTGCTTTGAGAGACTAGTCAAGGATCATATCACCTCTACCTTACCTGTCACCCTAGACCCACTTTGCTTACCGCCCCAATAGATCCACAGACGATGCAATCGCCATCACACTGCACACTGCCCTATCCCATCTGGACAAGAGGAATACCTATGTAAGAATGCTGTTCATTGACTATAGCTCAGCATTCAACACCATAGTACCCTCCAAGCTCATCATTAAGCTTGAGGCCCTGGGTCTGAACCCCGCCCTGTGCAACTGGGTCCTGGACTTCCTGACGGGCCGCCCCCAGGTGGTGAAGGTAGGAAACAACATCTCTACTTTGCTGATCCTCAACACGGGCCCCACAAGGGTGCGTGCTCAGCCCCCTCCTGTACTCCCTGTTCACCCATGACTGCGTGGCCAAGCACGCCTCCAACTCAATCATCAAGTTTGCAGATGACACAACAGTAGTAGGCCTGATTATCAACAATGACGAGACCGCCTACAGGGAGGAGGTGAGGGCTCTGGGAGTGTGGTGCCAGGAAAATAACCTCTCACTCAACATCAACAAAACAAAGGAGATGATCGTGGACTTCAGGAGACAGCAGAGGGAGCATGCCCCTATCCACATCAACGGGACTGCAGTGGAGGTGGAAAGCTTCAAGTTCCTCTGCGTACACATCACTGACAAACTGAAATGGTCCACCCACGCAGACAGTGTGGTGAAGAAGGCGCAACAGAACCTCTTCAACCTCAGGAGCCTGAAGAAATTTGGCATGTCACCTAAAACCCTCGCAAACTTTTACAGATGCACAATTGAGAGCATCTTGTCAGGCTGTATCACCGCCTGGTACGGCAACTGCACCGCCCACAACCGCAGGGCTCTCCAGAGGGTGGTGCGGTCTGCCGAACGCATTACCGGGGGCAAACTACCCGCCCTCCAAGACACATACAGCACCCGATGTCACAGGAAGGCCAAAAAGATCATCAAGGACATCAACCACCCGAGCCACTGTCTGTTCACCCCGCTATCATCCAGAAGGCGAGGTCAGTACAGGTGCATCAAAGCTGGGATCGAGAGAATGAAAAACAGTTTCTATCTCAAGGCCATCAGACTGTTAAATAGCCATCACTAGCACATTAGAGGCTGCTGCTGCCTATTGAAATCACTGGCCACTTTAAGAAATGGAACATTAGTCACTTTAATAATGTTTCCATATCTTGCACTACTCATCTCATATGTATATACTGCATTCTATTCTATAATATTCTACTGTATCTTAGTCCATGCCGCTCTGTCATTGTTCGTCCATAAATGTATATATTCTTAAATTCCATTCCTTACTAGTTTTGTGTGTATTGGGTATATGTTGTGAAATTGTTAGATATTACTGCACTGTCGGAGCTAGAAGCACAAGCATTTCGCTACACCCGCTATAACATCTGCTAAACACGTGTATGTGACAAATAACATTTGATTTGATTTAAAGTTATCAGCTTAGCTAGGTTAGCGGCTCTTTCAAGCAGACTTTAACCTGTCAGTTAAGCGGGATTCCGGGACAAGAAATAGCGGTCCTAGCTGTTAAAAGCTAACCGTGTCGTGGAATCCATGCAAAAACACGTTCAGTATTTATTTTTAACAAAGATTGTTTATGTTTTAGTTAAAATAACAAACCGAGTGTTTCCAGCATAGTGTTCAGCTGCGCATTCTGATGGCGTAGATCATAAGGTCTGAATGATAATGTCAAGTAGAAATTATTTACATTTTGAATTGAATAGATTTGGGATATAGTTATTTTGACCTCCCCACAGTTCATTGAAGAGGTTCCTGTTGGCTTTTTCAAATGGGGGGACTAGATACATAGTGCTTTCTTTTCTAAATGGTAAAACAGATATGGAAATACCCTCTCTGAGGCCTATATGAAACATTCAATCTCAAATCTAAAATGCTGGAGTATAGAGCCAAATTAAATGTTTTAGCTTCACTGTCCAAATCCATATGGCGGAGAGTGTAGCTAACACACTGTTATGGTAACACACTGTACATCTATATATTATACTGATGTTGCTATCATAGAAGGACATATTACCATGAATAGGATATCTGTGATTACTACACTGAGTCTATGGAGCAGTTCCCATCTGTACCAGCAGAGGGCAGGAAAACAACTCATGGCATCACAGTAGGAGTCTGGCTAGTAGCTCACTACTGGGATGCTGCTCCAAAATGCTGATCACTAATGGGATGCTGCTCCAAAATGCTGATCACTACTGTGATGCTGCTCCAAAATGCTGATCACTACTGGGATGCTGCTCCAAAATGCTGGTCACTACTGGGATGCTGCTCCAAAATGCTGATCACTACTGTGATGCTGCTCCATAGTTCAAAATGCTGATCACTACTGTGATGCTGCTCCAAAATGCTGATCACTACTGGGATGCTGCTCCAAAATGCTGATCACTACTGGGATGCTGCTCCAAAATGCTGGTCACTACTGGGATGCTGCTCCAAAATGCTGATCACTACTGTGATGCTGCTCCATAGTTCAACATGCTGATCACTACTGTGATGCTGCTCCAAAATGCTGATCACTACTGGGATGCTGCTCCAAAATGCTGATCACTACTGTGATGCTGCTCCATAGTTCAAAATGCTGATCACTACTGTGATGCTGCTCCAAAATGCTGATCACTACTGGGATGCTGCTCCAAAATGCTGATCACTACTGTGATGCTGCTCCAAAATGCTGATCACTACTGGGATGCTGCTCCAAAATGCTGATCACTACTGGGATGCTGCTCCAAAATGCTGGTCACTACTGGGATGCTGCTCCAAAATGCTGATCACTACTGTGATGCTGCTCCATAGTTCAAAATGCTGATCACTACTGTGATGCTGCTCCAAAATGCTGATCACTACTGGGATGCTGCTCCAAAATGCTGATCACTACTGTGATGCTGCTCCATAGTTCAAAATGCTGATCACTACTGTGATGCTGCTCCATAGTTCAAAATGCTGATCACTACTGTGATGCTGCTCCAAAATGCTGATCACTACTGGGATGCTGCTCCAAAATGCTGATCACTACTGTGATGCTGCTCCATAGTTCAAAATCCTGATCACTACTGGGATGCTGCTCCATAGTTCAAAATGCTGATCACTACTGGGATGCTGCTCCAAAATGCTGAGCACTACTGGGATGCTGCTCCATAGTTCAAAATGCTGATCACTACTGTGATGCTGCTCCATAGTTCAAAATGCTGATCACTACTGGGATGCTGCTCCAAAATGCTGATCACTACTGGGATGCTGCTCCAAAATGCTGATCACTACTGGGATGCTGCTCCAAAATGCTGATCACTACTGTGATGCTGCTCCATAGTTCAAAATGCTGATCACTACTGTGATGCTGCTCGATAGTTCAAAATGCTGATCACTACTGTGATGCTGCTCCATAGTTCAAAATCCTGATCACTACTGTGATGCTGCTCCATAGTTCAAAATGCTGATCACTACTGGGATGCTGCTCCAAAATGCTGATCACTACTGGGATGCTGCTCCAAAATGCTGATCACTACTGGGATGCTGCTCCAAAATGCTGATCACTACTGTGATGCTGCTCCATAGTTCAAAATGCTGATCACTACTGTGATGCTGCTCCATAGTTCAAAATGCTGATCACTACTGTGATGCTGCTCCAAAATGCTGATCACTACTGGGATGCTGCTCCAAAATGCTGATCACTACTGTGATGCTGCTCCATAGTTCAAAATGCTGATCACTACTGTGATGCTGCTCCATAGTTCAAAATGCTGATCACTACTGTGATGCTGCTCCATAGTTCAAAATGCTGATCACTACTGTGATGCTGCTCCAAAATGCTGATCACTACTGGGATGCTGCTCCAAAATGCTGATCACTACTGTGATGCTTACTGGGATGCTGCTCCAAAATGCTGTTCACTACTGGGATGCTGCTCCAAAATGCTGATCACTACTGGGATGCTGCTCCAAAATGCTGTTCACTACTGTGATGCTGCTCCAAAATGCTGGTCACTTTCCCCAAAAAGATTCCCAGGAATCTTCCAACCGGGACTTCTGGGAATTTGGGAACCTTCTGCAACTCTACCCAGTTCATATAGAAAGATTAAATAAATATTTGCATGGCATATAACTAGTTATGTAACCCAAGTCAACTGAAAGTAACCAAGTAAACCTGTTCTAACCAGATCCTCAGCTGAATGTCTGTCTCTCTAGATAATAGATAAGGGGAAGAGGGATCCATCGGAGGAGATTGAGATTCTGATGAGATACGGACAACACCCCAACATCATCACACTCAAAGACGTAAGTACTGTACCCCCAAACTGTTACCCCCAAACTTACTGTACCCCCAAACTGTTACCCCCAAACTTACTGTACCCCCAAACTGTTACCCCCAAACTTACTGTACCCCCAAACTTACTGTACCCCCAAACTGTTACCCCCAAACTTACTGTACCCCCAAACTGTTACCCCCAAACTTACTGTACCCCCAAACTTACTGTACCCCCAAACTTACTGTACCCCCAAACTGTTACCCCCAAACTTACTGTACCCCCAAACTGTTACCCTCAAACTGTTACCCCCAAATGTACTGTACCCCCAAACGTACTGTACCCCCAAACTGTTACCCCCAAACTGTTACCCCCAAACTTACTGTACCCCCAAACCTACTGTACCCCCAAACTTACTGTACCCCCAAACTGTTACCCCTAAACGTACTGTACCCCCAAACTTACTGTACCCCCAAACTGTTACCCCCAAACTGTTACCCCCAAACTTACTGTACCCCCAAACTGTTACCCCTAAACTGTACCCAAAACGTACTGTACCCCCAAACTTACTGTACCCCCAAACTCTACCCCCAAACGTACTGTACTACCAAACTTACGGTTACCCCCAAACTGTTACTGTATCCTCAAACTTACTGTACCCCCAACTTACTGTACCCCCAAACCTACTGTACCCCCAAACTGTTACCCCTAAACTTACTGTACCCCCAAACTGTTAGTCATTTAGCAGACGCTCTTATTCAGAGCGACTTGCAGTTAGTGCAGTCATCTTAAAATGGCTAGGTGGAACAACCACATACTGTATCACAGTCATAGTAAGTAGATTTTCCTCAATAAAATAGCTATCAGCAAGATCAGAGCTAGTGGTAACACTTTACAATAAGGTTTCATTTGTAAAGGGTTTATAAAGGGGTTATAATTACGTTGTTAACGGTTATTTAATCATTTGTAAAGGAATTATAAACCATTAACCCCCTAGAGTCGATTTCGCGGCCCCGCAGAAATCTAATTAGCAGTGTAAAATACTTAAGTAAAAATACTTTGAAGTACTACTTAAGTTGTTTTTTTGGGTTATCTGTACTGTACTTTACTATTTATATTTTTGACAACTTTTACTTCACTACATTCCTAAAGACAATAATGTACTTTTTACTCCATACATTTTTCCTGACACCCAAAAGTACTCGTTACATTTTGAATGATTAGCAGGACAGGAAAATGGTCCAATTCACTCACTTATCAAGAGAACATCCCTGGTCATCCCTACTGCCTCTGATCTGGCGGACTCACTAAACACACATGCTTCGTTAGTAAATGATGTCTGAGTGTTGGAGTGTGCCCCTGGCTATCTGTAAATGATGTCTGAGTGTTGGAGTGTGCCCCTGGCTATCTGTAAATGATGTCTGAGTGTTGGAGTGTGCCCCTGGCTATCTGTAAATGGTGTCTGAGTGTTGGAGTGTGCCCCTGGCTATCTGTAAATGGTGTCTGAGTGTTGGAGTGTGCCCCTGGCTATCTGTAAATAAACAAATAATATGGTGCCGTCTGGTCTGCGTAATATAAGGAATTTGAAATGATTTCTACTTTTACTTTTGATACTAAGTATATTTTAGCAATTACATTTACTTTCAATACTTAAGTATATGTAAAACCAAATACTTTTAGACTTTTACTCAAGTAGTATTTTATTGGGTGACTAACTTTTACCTGAGTCATTTTCTATTAAGGTACAGTGGCTTGCGAAAGTATTCACCCCCCTTGGCATTTTTCCTATTTTGTTGCCTTACAACCTGGAATTAAAATGGATTTTTGGGGGGTTTACATCATTTGATTTACACAACATGCCTACCACTTTGAAGATTCAAAGAACATCCCCCACACCGATGAAGAACATCCCCCACAGCATGATGTGGGGATGCCTCTTCCATCAATCCTATTAGCTAATGTTCAATCATTTGAAAATAAATTAAATGACCTAAGATTACGTTATCCTACCAACGGGACATTAAAAACTGTAATATCTTATGTTTCACCGAGTCGTGGCTGAACGACAACATGGACAACATACAGCTGACGGGATATATGCTACATCGGCAGGATAGAACGGCTGACTCCGGTAAGACAAGGGGTGGGGGTCTGTGTATATTTGTAAACAACAGCTGGTGCACAAAATCAAATACTAAGGAGGTCTCGAGGTTTTGCTCGCCTGAGGTAGAGTGTCTTATGATAAGCTGTAGACCACACTATTTACCAAGAGAGTTTTCATCAATATTTTTCATAGCTGTCTATTTACCACCACAAACCGATGCTGGCATTAAGATTGCACTCAATGAGCTGTATAAGGTCATAAGTAAACAGGAAAACGCTCATCCAGAGGCAGCGCTCCTAGTGGCCGGGGACTTTAATGCAGGGAAACTTAAATCCATTCTACCTAATTTCTACCAGCATGTTAAATGTGCAACCAGAGGAGAAAAAAAAACTCTAGACCACCTTTACTCCAAACACAGAGACGCGTACAAAGCTCTCCCTTGCCCTCCATTTGGCAAATCTGACCATAACTATATCCTCCTGATTCCTGCTTATAAGCAAAAACTAAAGCAGGAAGCACCAGTGACTCGGTTAATAAAAAAGTGGTCAGATGACGCAGATGCTAAGCTACAGGACTGTTTTGCTAGCACAGAATGGAAGATGTTCCGGGATCATCCGATGGCATTGAGGAGTACACCACATCAGTCACTGGCTTCATCAATAAGTGCATCGATGACGTCGTCCCCACAGTGACCGTACGTACATACCCCAACCAAAAGCCATAGATTACAGGCAACATCTGCACTGAGCTAAAGGGTAGAGCTGCTGCTTTCAAGGAGCAGGACTCTAACCCGGACGCTTATAAGAAATCACGCTATTCCCTCTGACGAACCATCAAACAGGAAAAGAGTCAATACAGGACTAAGATTGAATCGTACTACACCGGCTCTGACGCTCGTCGGATGTGGCAGGGCTTGAAAACTATTACAGACTACAAAGGGAAGCACAGCCGCGAGCTGCCCAGTGACACAAGCCTACCAGACGAGCTAAACCACCTCTATGCTTGTTTTGAGGCAAGCAACACTGAAGCATGCATGAGAGCATCAGCTGTTCCGGATGACTATGTGATCACGCTCTCCGTAGCCGATGTGAGTAAGACTTTTAAGCAGGTCAACATTCACAAGGCCGCAGGGCCAGACGGATTACCAGGACGTGTAATCCGAGCATGTGCTGACCAACTGGCAAGTGTCTTCACTGACATTTTCAACAAGTCCCTGACTGAGTCTGTAATACCAACATGTTTCAAGCAGACCACCATAGTCCCGTGCCCAAGGACACTAAGATAACCTGCCTAAATGACTACCGACCCGTAGCACTGACGTCTGTAGCCATGAAGTGCTTTGAAAGACTGGTCATGGCTCACATCAACACCATTATCCCAGAAACCCTAGACCCACTCCAATTTGCATACCGCCCCAACAGATCCACAGATGATGCAATCTCTATTGCACTTCACACTGCCCTTTCCCACCTGGACAAGAGGAACACCTACGTGAGAATGCTATTCATTGACTACAGCTCAGCGTTCAACAGCATAGTGCCCTCAAAGCTCATCACTAAGCTAAGGATCCTGGGACTAAACACCTCCCTCTGCAACTGGATCCTGGACTTCCTGATGGGCCGCCCCCAGGTGGTAAGGGTAGGTAACAACACATCAGCCACGCTGATCCTCAACACGGGGGCCCCTCAGGGGTGCTCAGTCCCCTCCTGTACTCCCTGTTCAAACATGACTGCATGGCCAGGCACGACTCCAACACCATCATTAAGTTTGCCGACGACACAACAGTGGTAGGCCTGATCACCGACAACAATGAGACAGCCTATAGGGAGGAGGTCAGAGACCTGGCCGTGTGGTGCCAGGATAACAACCTCTCCCTCAATGTGATCAAGACAAAGGAGATGATTGTGGACTACAGGGAAAAAAAGAGGACTGAGCACGCCCCCATTCTCATCGACGGGGGCTGTAAGTCGCTCTGGATAAGAGCGTCTGCTAAATGACTAGAATGTAAATGTAAATGTGTCCACATTACCAACAAACTATCATGGTCCAAACACACCAAGACAGTCGTGAAGAGGGCACGACAAAGCCTATTCCCTCTCTCAGGAGACTGAAAAGATTCGGCATGGGTCCTCAGATCCTCAAAAAGTTCTACAGCTGCACCATCGAGAGCATCCTGACTGGTTGCATCACCGCCTGGTATGGCAACTGCTCGGCCTCCGACCGCAAGGCACTACAGAGGGTAGTGCGTACGGCCCAGTACATCACTGGGGCCAAGCTTCCTGCCATCCAGGACCTCTACACCAGGCGGTGTCAGAGGAAGGCCCTCAAAATTGTCAAAGACTCCAGCCACCCTAGTCATAGACTGTTCTCTCTGCTACCGCACGGCAAGCGCTACCGGAGCGCCAAGTCTAGGTCGAAAAGGCTTCTCAACAGCTTCTACCCCCAAGCCATAAGACTCCTGAACAGCTAATCATGGCTAACCTGACTATTTGCACTGCCCCCCCCACCCCACCCCATCTTTTTACCATCTTTTTACGCTGCTGCTACTCTGTTAATTATTTATGCATAGTCACTTTAACTCTACCCACATGTACATATTACCTCAACTACCTCAACTAGCCGGTGCCCCCGCACATTGACTCTGCACCGGTACCCCCCTGTATACAGTGAGGGAAAAAGGTACAGTGCCCTCCACAATTATTGGCACCCCTGTTTAAGATGTGGTCAAGGACTTCCAAAAATTCTCATTTTTTATTAAACAACATAGAACCCAAATGCAAAAAAAGAGAAAAATCCAACCTTTTATTTAAGTACATTACTTTGGTGTAAAAAAACTTGAAAAAAACTTGAAATCATGTGTCCCACAATTATTGGCACCCCTGATGTTAATACTTTGTACAACCCCCTTTTGCCAACAAGACAGCACT